CACTTCAAAAGATTATCAGTGAAATCGATGGGCCACATTTTTCAATTGCATTTGAACTCTCAAAGAACTGCAAGTATTGGAAATGGCCAATGAATCGTTTCTGAAGAGACAAGAGTTGAAATTGTATCCATTCCACGGTTGCCAGTTTGGGGTTATTGACTTGGACGGGAATCCCATGAAAAAGGGTTGGATGATTGCAACAAACATGGAAGAGTTATCAAGTCTATCGGAATACGTTTGTAATGGTTCCCACACTCATGGTCAAAGCCGGGGTACTGCATTGAAGCTTGCAGAGAACTACACATTCAAGTTGACTGACTTCATCCATGATTGTTTTCGTTCCAGAGCTAACCAGGCACAAACCGCCAAGAACAGGAAAAGGTTAGCTTTGCCCGCCATGAGCCGCCGTTCTGATGATTCAAATTTGTCGATCACTGACAAGATGAACGTGCGGGCTCTCAAGTCGGCCGGTTTAAAGACCGTGCCCCAACAGAGCAACATGTCGGAGTGGCTTGCTTTTCGGAAGTGCCTTGATGTTCAGGGGGATAGGCACGCAGGGTGGGAGGACATCTTTTCTACGGTCCTCGCTTCGTCAACCATCCTGGCACAGGGCAACAGGACAGAAGACCTTGAGTTGGCCGCAGGATTCATGCAGTGTTTCACTGCGCAGTCAATGGCGACTGACGCCCTGACGAACGTGCCGTGGGCAAAGGAGATCCGCCATCTGTCCGAGCTCGAACATGACTCGCTGTGGGATCTGAGCTTGCCTACTGAGTACGTCCCTGGGACATCAAGGCCGGCGGTAGACGTCGTGCCCACCATCTATGTGGTGACTTCCGATTCAACTTTGGCTCTGATCACTGGAAAGGGTCAGACTTTGAAGAAGTACACCTTGAAGGAGGATCTGGGATTGCGAAAGTCGGACATGGTTCTCGAAATCGGTCATGACATGCTCTGGGGTAAGGATTTGCAACAGCTCTGCAAAGCAAATGTTTCCATGATCAAGGAGCTGATGGCGAAATATTCTTCTCATGGATCAGCCATCAGGGTTATTTCGGTAATCTTTTGGTCTGGGAATGAAATTTGTGGGGAATATGGTGTTGAACCCCTTCCCATTTGGGGGCAGAGGGAACCACAGGGTGACTGGAATGCCATCATGGACAGGGTCAAAGGCAACATCGTGTGGTGGAACAATCAGCTCAAGGAGTTGGGAGTGGATCAGGCCGCCCTAATCGGCGAGCCCGACCCGCTCACTTATGGACTGAGTCTCATCTTCACCACGTTTGTTGATCGACTGAAGGAATGGTTCCACAAGGAGATTGCCAGTGACAACGATCGGATTCGGTGGATTCAGAATGACAAGCTTCCACCGAGGCTTGAGCTCAGGGACTACTTTCACGCATTCGAGACCGAGCTCAACCGAAGTGAAATGATCGGATATGTCATGGCAACTCTCCACATGTTGCACATGACGGACATCTTGATTCCTCAGTACAACCTGTCTTTGTACAAGCGCAGGCGCCCTGCAGGAGAGGCTACAATGCGTGATGTCACACCAAAGATGGAGCACCTCCCAGTCAGGTTTGTGCAGGTCCTCAACGCTCTCCGTGAGAAGACGAACAAATCTGCACCGAGCGTCTCGACCCCAGAAAGCTTCACAGCAGAGGAGTTGAGAGCTCGCCCGACCGATGCTGGTGTCGCCGAAGATGATGATGAAGAAGGCGACCCATGGGATGCTCTGGATCCCGACGAGCATGAGGGCCCATCGGTTGGCAAGGCCAAGGCCAGCCACGCAGCTCCACCTGACCCCAAGGCGAAAGCTCCAGCGACACAGGAGGATTCAACTCAGGCCACCTCAGCTGGTGAGCCCCTGCAAGAAAACGAGATCAAGGGTACCATCATTCCGAAACATGCACTTGGACACCTTGACAAATATCGTATCACTTTGGACGAAAACATAAATGCAGAAGTAGTTGAACATTGTGTCGTTGATGCCCATCCCTACGAATTGATCGTCAAAACCTGTTGGGAGATGGATGGGGCAAAGGAGCTGAGGTACCCAGATCGCATGGACCGACACAAGACTAAGGTCAATGCAGTGACGCGTGGACAGCCGGGTCAGGACACCTCTGGATTTGATGAAAACATGTGGCTTGACCTTGATGACTTCTTTCGAATGTTCAACCAAATGCTGCCAGCCAAGTTGCCCCGAATGACAGTTGAAGAGCTTATTTCATTGCTCTACTGGGACAGCAAGTGCCGTTTTGAGTTCCAGTGCATTGCCGGGTACCAGAAGGCAACCCGTAAAGGGTTAGCCTACTGGCCCATCAGGATCCGTGCAGTGCAGGGGCATACGAAACGTGCCATGGATGCCGCTTCAGCTGAGGACACGTTCAATGCAGTGGAAATCTATGCTCTGTCTGGAGCAGCAGCGATCCAGAAAATGAACGCCAAAGGTAAAAAGATTACCACTCCTCAGATGTGCCCTGGCGTAGTTTATCACAGGACTACAAGAGGCAATTGGAAGGGCATCATTGAGAATGGCTTCGTTGCTGGAGGAGGAGATCGAAATTCATCAGGCAGAGCACACTCCTATTTTAGCGAAGTGCGTGTCGACGAGAAAGAGTATGTGAGCGGTTTGCGTGCTGAACGACCCATTGAAATCAGGGTAGCAATGGCTGAAGCTGTCAAAGCTGGCATTGTGTTTTTCAGGACGGCCTCTGACGGCATTTTGACAAGTGACGTCGTACCGCCTCAATACATTATCTCTGTCGATGACACTGCCAAGAAGGTGAATTTGTATCGTCGCCAGCAGGAGGTCGCACAGTCTGCAGCGAGCAGTGGGGGAGAAGTTGGAGTCCAGCAGCTTGTCGAGACCTTTGAGGCCAAGGCATCAAAACGGACTGGTTCCACGTCTCCGGCCGCCTCAACTGGCGCGCCCACTGCAACGGAATTTTTCCCAGGAAAGGTGAAGCCTCCGCCACCAAATGTGGCCCAACTTGCCGGTATGCCTGGATATGCAAGCAGCAGATTGTTGCCCCCTCCTCCGAAGGGTGAAGCTCCAAAGCCTCCTGCAGCAAAGGTTGAAAGCCCAAAGACACCGCCGAAAGCGCCTCCAAAACCATCACCGAAGGAAGGGACTTCTGCACCTCATGCACCAGAAGTTCCAAAAGCTGTGACCTCAGAAGTTGATGCAGCAGCAAAGGATGAACCTGCAAAGAAGAAGGCAGCCCTGACAAGCGTGCCCGCAGCTGTGCCTGCGGCATCATCAGCTGCGGCCTTCTTGGAGCCTGTTTCAAAAGTTGCACCGCCGAAGGCAGTACAGAAAGATCCAAAAGCTCCAGTTGCAGAGTCACCCAAAAAGACGCCGGCATCAACATCAAAGTCACTGGTGCCAAAGCAGAAGTCTCGCCCTAAAGGCGATGACCAACCTTCGAAGAAAGAGGTGAAGAAGGAGGACAAGAAGCCGGTGCCGGTCAAGATTGAAGTCACGCAATGTTCAAGATGTTTTGCACAGACTTTCAAGGGACAGATTGAATGCGATGTGTGTGGATTGATGCTCGAAGGGGTGAACAAGGCCGACCGAACCAAGATTGCAGAACGCAGGAAGGCCGCCCTTCACAAGCTGGGCTTGTACTATGATTTTCGTGGTGAGTACGTGCAGAGCATTACACACAGTCAGCTTGAATCTTTGGGTTTGTTGGACGACCAGGCAAGAGGAAGCTCTAGTCCGGAAGCCAGTCTATTGGCAAGGGCAAAGAGTCGATTCGACCGTGCCTTGAGCCTGGGCTATGTGTCTGTGGCTGACAGGTTTGCCCAGGACGCCACATTCGCAGAGAGCGTGCTGAACGAGGGGGAGAACGAGTACGATTGTGAAAGGTACGACCTCCTCAAGTCTGCACATTTGCCAAAGCCAGGTCGTACCAAGGCTCAGGTCAAGATGGGTGTTTCTGAGCAATCTCAGCTGGAGCACAATGCGATGAGGCTGGTTTACTTGGATTTGGCAAGCCGTCTTGATGTCCCGAAATCGTTCAGGTACATCGACCAACCATGGTTCTACATGTATCGTACGGAAATCTACTCCGAGGAAGAGTACATTGACTATCTCAACCGGAATCCTGGACACAATCTTTTGTTGTCTTGTACTGGTGTTGACAACATTGCTGTTCATGATGCCGAACGTCATTTGAGGTGGATCAAGGGACAAAACGAGGAGCTGTACAAGCAGAACGCTGCAGAGAAGAAGAAGCAGTCTGACAGGGCTCGCGAGCAGAACGAGGCCAAGCGCAAAGCTGAGCAGACTGGAGCGTACGGCCAAGGTCCCTCCAAGAAAGGCACCGCCAAACCGGTTGCCCGACCATCCACCGTAGAGGTAGCTTCATCATCAACGTCTGCAAGTCAGTGGATCAACCGCCCTCAGCAAAGTCAGTCCCACGATGATCGCCGTTACACTGGAGAATGGCAGAAGTGGCATGGGCGCTGGTACGAGAAAGTCATCAGGCATGGCCGTGTTGAGTGGGAAGAGGGATAAGTTGTGAAACTGCTTGCATTGGCGATCGATTGTATATAGCCGCTGTACTTTGTATGTGTTTTCCTCAGGTCTGCAAAGAGCTGAAACGGTAAGGCAGGTCTTAAAGACCTCGCCCTGGTAAATGGGCAGCCTTGCCGTAACCGGCTCACCTGAGGGGGGTGTATTTGCATCCCATGTAAAACACCATGTATTATAGATATATCTGACAGCATTGCGGCTCAGTACAAAAGGCGCTGGGTCGCTGGCTTAGCGGTTGTGTTTTATCCCCATTTGTTATAGGTTTATCAGTCTAGTTGGGATAAGTAACATCCCCTGCTGAAACCTGAAAATACACAATCCTTGTGAATCTAGTTCAACCACCTTAACATCAACTATGAGAACTATGAATCCCCGCATTCTCTCGCCTTAAATCCCTCAAAAATCGTTTTTTTTTTAATGCTGTTCATCACCTCTTTGGGGCAAGCTGCAGGCCTTCAAATATTTCGACACCAATAAACAGGGCCGTTTCGGCCAAGTGGTCTGGGACAATGGCCTTGTACTGCTGCGCAGCTCTGTTTTTAATGTTGGAAAATGACGGCTGAAGTTGATAAGATATGTGGGAATATAATGGAATACACATATATATATATATATATATATGTCTGTTGGGTATACTTAAAATATCTGAGAATGACAATCTGGAGGAATCTTTGGGAGTATCTTACAGTACATCAATAATATATATATATATACATATATATATACATAAACACATAGTAATAAAATTGCTATATATTTAAGGTATACCGAAAATGATCCACGGACATTCATCGATTGAAATTTCCCCCATGATTTTTCCGGGGTTTTTGTATACGGCCGAGTCTTGGGTGTCGTGACTGGAGATTCACAGTGTGAGGCCCCCGGCCACGATATGTGAACGTTGGTTTAGCAAAAGCCCCAGTAACTATAGTTATAAATGTTATAATTACCATAAACCATAGTGACATTGGAGTTATGTGAACCCCAACTTAGCTATCGAATGGGGGCCTCACATTTCACGATTTGATAGGGAACATGAATAAAAATGATGGATAGTTTACATGATTAGACAGTGAACATCAAAATGTGTTCATGTTTTTTTGCCCCAATTGCAGGTACCAAGATTATATATATATATACATGAACAAATAAGATTTAAGCGTAAAAGCTTGGATTCACCAGTTTTATTTCGGAAAGGCTGATTGGTCAAAACATATAATGTTCCATATATCTTAGGGAGGTGGACATTTATACATCCTACCGTAGTGATGTTCACTAAAGTACAAGGTTTTGACACATCCACATAATATATATATATATGTATACGATGCGAACCAATGTCCAGTGTTTTTTTCCTGGAAACACTTTTGGTTCTTGACATTGCCCATTTGGTTGAGTAGTTACAGCAGGGTTGTGGAGTCATTCAAAGTTCCTCAGGCATCGATGTGGAGAGGTTGTGCGGTTTTCGACCTGTTTCCTGGCAGCGAATGCTGGCGCGCAAATTTAGGCATTTTATATCATGTTTTTGGCATTTTGAATCAGAACCACAGATTCTGGTCTTTTCTCTTACTGGTGCTTAGTAGGGAATGAGGGAATGATCCACAATCACTAGTCATAATCATCCCAGCAACCCCCACCAACCCATCCATTCCCTACTAAGCACCAGTAAGCTCTTGTCTTACACGCAGCTTTTCAACTATTCCATTGCTGGAGGATCTGAATTTTGATAGTCAGCCCTTAGGAGCCATATTGCTTGGCTTAAGAACCCTAAATTTGACACTACTGTGCGACTTGTTGATAAATTTATATGTCCTTTCAAACTCATTTAATATGGGATCAGGTGTGTGTGTATATATAGACATATACATACACATATATATATATACACATATACGTACACTACATTACATTCCATTACATCACATGACATTACATTACATCCCATTACATCTCATTAAATTACATTACATTACTTTAATACATACATACATTACATTACATCGCAATACATAACATAACATAACATAACGTCACACACAAACATAACATTACATACATACATGACATTACATACATACATAACATTACATACATCATATATAACATTACATACATCATATATAACATTACATACATACATACATTACATTACATTACATTGCATTGCATTACATTACATTACATTACATTACATTACATTACATTACATACACAACATTACATACATAACATTACATACATAACATTACATACATAACATTACATACATAACATTACATACATAACATTACATACATAACATTACATACATAACATTACATACATAACACACATACAAACATACATACAAACATACATACATATATATATATACATATATATACATATATATATACATATATACATATATACATATATACATATATGTAATGTATGTGAATGAAACCCTGAATAAAACCCTAAAGATACCCTAAATGACACCCGGAAGAAAGCCTACATGAAACCCTAAAGATACCCTAAGGATACACTAAAATACACCTTAGAGAAACCCAAATTGAAACCCAAATGACACATTAAATGAAACCCTAAAAAAACATGTAAGCAAAACCCTAAAGAAACCCGAAATGAAACCCTATATACCCCAAAGAGACCCCAAATGGCACCCCAAAGATCCCCCAAAAAAAACACATGAACGTTTGAACTACTGTACCAACATGTAGCACATACCAGAAATGAGAGGTTGAAGTGCCAAAAATATAGCAAATACCGTGCAAAATGGAAGGTGAAGCCAAAATGTCGCAAATGCCTTGCATAATGACAGGTTCTAGTTACAAACTGTTGCAAATACAAGGCAAATGGCACCAGGAAAGAAATCCTACCCCAAAAAAAAACATTGTCAAAAAAGAATTCCTAAAACTAATTTTCACCCCTATTAAAATGGCAATATGGAGTGTATACCCCAATTTCAGACACACTGTGTTTAAAAGGAACCAATGACACCAAGAACCTCGGAAAAATCCTATTGTGTCCCCTATAGCTATGAAGAAAAAATGCAATTTATAGATTATTTACCTATTAAACATGGTAATGTTGAATAGCCAACTGATAAATTACTAGTTGGTGGTTTCAAACATTTCCTATTTTCCATTTCATATATGGGATGTCATCCTTCCCATTGACGAAGTCATATTTTTCAAGATGGTTATTGCACCACCAACCAGATAGGTTAATCACTATTAATCACCATTAATACACTATTAATCACTACCAATCACTACTAATCACCATTACCATGATACTGTATGCCTATACATGGGAATAGCTCAAAAAAATCCACAAGGACAGCTCCGTGTGCTCCGTTCGGCCCTTCTGTTTCTCTTTAACGCCGCTGGAGGGAGAGATGTCCGGTTTTTAATCGTTTCGGTAGTGTAGAACCACGTTTTGTTGTCCAAGTGAAATGGGCTCGGTTCGTAGATAGAGGTCATGATGGTTAAGGCCTACCTTTGGCTTTTTTTAAGGCCTACCATTAGCCATAGATGATATATGATGATATTATATCCACCAGTTTTTTTAAATATCAATGGGAATTTCAGGATCCTAAAATGGAGGTATGTTAGTACCATATTTTTGGCCATATGTTGTGGGGATATTCCCTTACAAAGGCCTAAAACATAGGCCTTTTATATGGTAGGTACCTCCAATAAATCAGTTCCTGGAATGGCCATTGAATTGATTGTATCCTGCTCCAGGATATCCACTGATCATCACTGATCGCTTGTGTCGAATATTGTCTTTGTACATGAGCTCTGAAATCACCAATCAGATACGTAGTTTGATATTGTGAACACAAATCAGACATGTATCTATGTATGTATGTATGTATGTATGTATGTATGTATTTATGTATGTATGTATGTATGTATGTAATGTAATGTAATGTAATGTAACGTAATGTAACGTAATGACACGTAATGTAACGTAATGTAACGTAATGTAACGTAATGTAACGTAATGTAACATATGTAATGTATGTAATGTATGCATCATGCATGCATTGTATTGTATTGTATTGTAATGTAATGCAATGCAATGCAATGCAATGTAATGCAATGTAATGTAATGTATGCATGTATATATATATCCCAATAATAATGTATTTAGTATTATTTAGTATTTAGATTGAGTTGTAAATCTATATTGCTTATACATATATATGTATATATCATACATTATATATCTTTACAATGATATCACCATGATAAAATATCCTGCCATGTCAAGGCCCAGATCTTTCACATGATGGACCAGGAGCCACAAGGCGCTGGGAGCTGATCTCCCCTCAATAGAGGCTGTTGTGCTTCAGAGTTTTCGCAAAGCCGAGCTGGGGGGTTCTTTCAACAGGGCTTGGTACCCTCTGGTAATTTGTTACATAACTACAATGTGAGGCCCCCGCTCGATAGCTAAGTTGGTGAACATAACTTCAATAACTATGGTTTATGGTATTTATAACGAACTAGTTACTGGGGTTTATAAACCAACTTATAACTGGGGGGCCTCACATTGTATGGAAAGATCCACCATTTACAGTGAATTTTCCCATGAAAATTACTGTGGGTAATCTAACCTAACTATGGAAAGATCCACCCATTTTCATGGGAAAATTCACTATAAATGGTGGATCTTTCCATAGTTCTGTTAGTTACCAGAGGGTAAATGTCCTGTTTTGGGGAATAATCAACTGGTTGGTGGTATACCTACCCCTCTGAAAAATATGAGTTCGTCAGTTGGGATTGGGATTTGTTTCACATCACTTTCAGCCGTATTTGTTGGTGATTTTGGTTTTCCCAATAGTCGGGTGATGTGAAAATTAGGACATTTACCAAGCCCTGTTCAAACCCCTAAACCACGCCTGAGAGACTGCGTATGGCAAAATTATACTTTAGCGACTGAATGTGTATGGACGAGGGAACCTCAACGCCAAAATGTCATATCCATTAGGAAAAAGCATCAGTTCCCTGTTCTTTCAAAATTAATTAACCAATATGGATGCGCAGCTATATCCCATGTACCCTCTGGTGAACGTTTACATAACTATGGAAAGACCCACCATTTTACAGCTGGGTAAATCCACTATTTCAATGTTCATTACTACCTATAACTATGGAAAATCGCCATGTTCAATGGGTAAATCCACTATAAATGGTTATTTTCAATAGCTGTTTTGACATAACCAGAGTGTATTTCAGGGAGCAAAACTTCACCCAAGTCCATGACATTCGTCCGTCATGTTCCTCCCTGTGGAGGTGGTTCAGTTTCCAGGAAGAAGTGGAATCGGTTCTTTTCAGCCGCTGGGCATGGAATGTTTGGGTCTCCACTTCGGGATTTCCCGCACGACTTGAGATTTTCCAAACGATTTTTGCCATAAAAATGCCGCAGTTTCCAAGAAGAACCTATGACTTACGAACAATATTGATGTTGGGGTGAGAACTTTCATTTGCGTTGGTACAATCCCGATTGTCGCTGTTGAACTCCGCATGTTCCACATGTTCAATATCTATTTGTGTATTACATATTCCCATGATTCCTGGTGAGCTGCAATTCAGGGTGTTTAAACCCCAATTGTGGTGGTATATATATATATATATATTGTGTGTGCTGATCCACTGGTTGATCACTGTTTTCCCTATTGATATGTCATTTGTTTACATATATTATATACATATATATATATATGTATTTTAATAACACAAACCCAGATAATGATTACATACGTCCTAGGTTGATGGCTACATCCTGATTCCCCACCTGTCAGGTGAGGGTTGTTAGATTTTAAGTCAGCTGGCCTGGCCTCGTCCTCCTCCTCATCCCTCTCCTCCTCCTCCGGGCCTCAACTGCAAGCTCGTGATCGCAGTGGTCTCCGCCGGACCTGAACAGCAAGCTCAGGTTCAGAGTGTTTCCCGCCGGACCTCGACCACAAAGAATCTCCGAAGATATATCAGATAGAATGCCAGAAAGAATGTCAGAAGATATGCCAGATACATATGCCAGAAAGAACGCCGGATAGAATGCCACATAAAGTGCCAGAAGAGATGCCGGAAAGAATGTCAGAATAGATGCCAGACAGATGATCAGAAAGAATGCCACATAGAATACCAGAGGAATGTCAGAATAGATGCCAGAAAGGATGCCAAATAGGATGTCAGAATAGATGCCAGATAGAATGGCAGAAAAGAATGTCAGAATAAAATGTCAGAAAGAATGCCAGACTAGAATGTCAGAAAATATATGCCATATATACTTCCAGATGAGATGTCAGAAACTATGACAAAATGTCGCGGTGGGGATCGCTCGAAGGAAAATAAGTTTGGTGGTAAAATCCTAAACCTGGGGATCCAATTCCATTCAATTCCGGTATGGTTGGGGGTTCCAATCACATCCGAAAACCACGGACCATTGGCCAAAACAAGATACTGCCCAGAAAAGAGATGATTGGACACCTAGAGGTATAGTTAGAGCCGCATATGCCGAATTCTTGATGGTTAGATGCCATTTCTTCATCACTTTGAATATGTTTGATTCTTCAATCCCGTATCTTCGGCTGATTTATAAATTGCATTAACATCGTTAACTGCTCCGTTATATCTACTATAAATCCAAATTATCAAACATTTCAGCCACTTAACTCTGATATTATACTCACTGGGGCACCACCACTGATGGTTTTTAATACCGTTTTTTAATGGTTCATAATTGCAATATATTTACCCCAGTGATGTAAGTCGGTTTATATTCAACATGAATACTATAGATACCATGTATTAATTATATATTAATTATATAATCGTTATATATATATATATTTAATTATATATATATACATATATATACGTATATAAGTGGTTTATAGTTATACACATTTTTTAAAATATGTTTTCAAAGAGGATTCATCAACCATAGCTCTTGCGATTCCGAACGCTGCAAGGCGGTCGAGGAGGGCTTCTTAGCCACCTCCATGAAGGACACTGCGAAGGCGGTGAAAACCGAGCGCAATTTATTGGACTTCATGAGATACATTGAAAAAACTATGATCAACATTGATGAAATATGTCCAATTTGGGTTTGATTGAAAATATGGTATACTCTCTTTTTTTTGAGACTACCAGTATATATATATATACAATCAAGCCCACGATATGTATGCAACATGCATGTAGAGTTTTTTTGGTGGTTCACCCCAGTAATCGTGAGTCATCTATAACCCCAGGTATTTCAGGTGGGTAAATAGGGGCAATGTCCAGTTATGTCCAGTTACAACTGGGGCGATAGCCCACTTACATCCACTTGCGAACTGCTGTGAATCACCAAGTATTATATAAGGGGGAACTGTTTTTTGCGACTATCTATTTGTAGATTATTCAATAGCTTTCACCTATTTGCAAAAGAGTTGTGTCCATAACGGGAACTTAACAATTTGCCAATATAAGTAGAAATTGAAATAACTATATATTGAAATCATTTATTATAGATGAACTATACATTTGTTATTGACACTAAACTTAAAATTCATGAATATATTGAAATAATAGGCAGTTGATGATAATTCAATGGGAAATTCATCTACTTTCATGGGCGTCCGTGGCTGTTAAGCTACCGTCATGGGTACTGGTTTGTAACTATGGTCTTTAAAACCCAGGTTTGTTACTTTAAAACCACCATGATATCGTTAAAACCTCCCTAGCAAAGATGGGGTCCTTCACGTGAAATGCCAATTGAACGAACTGTTGATGTGGAAAATATCCAGAAATATATAGTGTGAGACTGTGCCATCCATGGCTTCTGAATGTTTATGATATCTATTTGATTAGTATGAATCATCTGCACTTGGGGTTTCAGAATCGCCCAGACTATGCACTTTTTTTGGTGCCCCTTGCAAAATCAAGGCCTCCCCAGGGGCCATATCAGAAACAGCTGAGGCCGTGAGGCTTCCCGGGATGCTGGATCTACATTAAAGTACTTGGTGAAACCTATTACCCTCTGGTTATTTGTTACATAGCCATGGTATATATGGCCTATTTATAGATGGTTTACCTATTTAAAATGGGGATTTTCCATGGCTATGTTAGTCATAACCAGATGGTAAAGAATAATATAAATTAGAATGTAGAGCTATGTTTTCATCAGCGTATCCTCATGTATCTTCACTTTCCATCTTGAAGATTCATCGGCAGCTTTGCAGGCGAAGGGTACTTTGCACCAGCGTGCAGTGAACAAATCGGAGCACCTCCTGTCAGTCTATCGTGAGAGGAGGCCTCCAATAACAGAGCTCCCTCGAAGGATGGATGGAAGGAAGGAAGGATGGATGGATGGATCTGAGATGTATATCATATTATTATTTGATGATATTTATATGATTTGTAATATACATAGACTGAGATGTAGATAGATAGATGTGTATATATATATGTATGATACGTATAAATGACATACATTACATATATATATAATATACATAGAACATGTACCGTAATGTACATATCTATATACTTGCGTACTAACTACTAACTTTACTAACTATAGCTTGTTTTCCCAGGCCAGTAGTATTTGAGCCGAGTGAAGGGTAATGTCTTAATCTAGTTTTTAGCTCGTACTTCCCTGGGACTGATATTGGGGGATAGCGACTACATGAAGGATCTTGTGGTTAATCAACAGAAGTTATCTTATCTAATGATTCCGACACATTTTTCCTGATGTTTTTGCACCAGAGGTCTGTAGGTCTGCAGCCGACCCAAAATAATTTTTCACTGCTGACATATTTACAGCAGCTGCTTTGAAATTGTGTTGGTGGAAGGAAGAGGATAATATGACACTGTCGACCGACGATGGTGCACAGGATTGCACAGATTTGCTGTCACGGTACTACATTTGTTTCTGGCTAAATCACGAGGTGTGACCTACATAGCTGTTGCAACCACAAGAATTGAGGGCACAACTCGTCGAATATGTGTAGATTTCACATGCATAGTTTCGCAATACCAAAACTGACCAGTCACTATGAATCCCAGGGAGTTGTTCTGACATCAGACCCCAGAGTTTATCCCTTCCCGGCGAAACCTGCCCTACGTCTTTTCGAAAAGGGATGGACAATATTAAGATATACTAAAAATCAATCATCAGTCTATCTAGAATCCATATACTCTATATATTTATATATTGTGGTATATATATATATGTATATGCACCTATATTATAAACCTACATATAAGTCATGATTGTGCCCTTGCCCCACCTGGCCACAGGAAGACCCACGGGCCCGCGAAGTCTCGCCGGAAAGGCAGCAGTTTGTCCAGCATCGCCAGCATCGCTGCGTTGAAAGATCCTCGGCGAAGCGAAGCCTTGTGGCAATTTTATTTCTTTTTGGTGTGCCCTCATGAAAAGTGCAAAAAAGTGGATAAAGCTGCTCCTGAAAAAAAATGTATCTGAGAGAAAAAATCTCACAATAGAGGCCCACCCCACCACCCCCCACCATTTGCAGGATACTCAGTAATTTTCGGAAAAAAAACAGAATAGGGTCCCATGACCTTAATCGGTATCCAACATTGCTTTATTTGGTTTGTTTATATGTTTTGTTTATTTGCTTTATTTGTTTTTGTTGCTTAGTTGGGTAGCCATTATACACATCGAATTGATGCTGAGGGATGTTGGTGCTTTTAGCCTATGAGGAGCTTATTTGTTGTAACTGAGAATATTCTTGAAGAAAACACCTGAGAAATTGTTTTGATATCAAATCGATATGGACGTCTATGCTCATTAGCTTTTTCAATGACCACTACAAACATTATGTTCGGTATCTGGGTATCTCATATCACATTTTCATACATTTTCTGTTTCCAATTGCATACTGGAAATAAGTTTGCCAAAAGTCAGTTCTCCATTGAACACACATTTCTCCCGATCCCTGGCTCGGAGTGGTCAGCCTGGACACCTTCCCATGCACCCAACAAATAGATTTTTAAGAGTATGAAAAGTGGTGTCCGAGAGTGTGTGTATTTCAGCTGCAAAGTCAAAGATGCCAGTTCCCTGCGAAGGACATGTGATATCAACAAAAAACAACAGAAACTTACCAGCCAAACTGCGGAACAATGATATGAAATGAATCCGCCCACAGATCGACAATTTGGCAGCCATTTGGATCTCTCAAGGACCCAAGATGTGCCAAAATGTTTTCCCAGGGCCAAGTAGAAAGTTGAATCTATCAACATTCTGCCAAAAGAGGTGGTAAACCCAAAGCCATAAACCATCTCCAGCAACCAAGCCGTTTGGTGGCCATGAGAACCATCATCCCAGTTATTACAGGGTAATAACCAATTTCAGAAACCCACCTGGTTTATGGATCATCTCGATGATTTTAAGATCTTTTAGGTATTATCTCGATTCGGTGTTTAAGCCTCATGTTCGCATGTTAATTACCCTCTGATAAATTATAAATTAACATAGACCCTGAAAATGAAAATAGCCCTATAGTTTTAATGGAAACTAATCTTCCAACCCCTATCTGGCAGGGTCTATGTTAATGTACTAAAGGGTAATATTGTTTCCCTCATTAAGCTCTGGTTGGCTTACCTCATGAGTTTGGTGCGAAGCCGGTAGAGATCTCAGTGGTGCGAAAGGTTTGGGGGGGTGCCAAAAGCACCATTTTCAATGAGTTAGTTTAATCAGTTCTAAGGATTTTTCTACTACAAGTTTCACCATGTTTGACCAGTGTCCTTTGGTTTTCCACAGTTTTTTCTTGCACCGTTGGACCTTGAAAACTCCAAGGATGACGCGCGAGAAGTGCGAAAGGTGCTGCAGAAATCAGGCAGGCGATGGGTTGAAGAGACATAAGAGACCTCGCCTGGTTGATGAAACACACACACTGTATGTTTGTATTTATACATATATATAATTTATATATATATATATATATAACACATATGTGGTAGACCCAATAACAAGCCATTCCCAATTTTGGTGTATTTTTGGGTATACCTCTTTTTGGGATATGCATGATCTACATGTTTACCCCATTGGATTCCAATGTTTGTTTATCACGGGTTTTATACAATCTGGTAAGCCCAGTGTACTAAACATGGAATATATATGAACATATGGTATAATCACGGAAAATTCAAATATAATTCGGGGATATGAGAATTATAGGATGATTATTATGAACCATTATGAATCATGTCCAATTTTGGTTTCTGAAATTGGGTACAGCCAGCTTTTTGGGATGATTTACAACTGCACCCAAATGGTTTTGGGATGTTTATTACTAGGATTTCAACATCACGGTGATATAGCAAAAATCGAAGATATAGATGGTGTATGATATGAAAGCAAAAACACAAACAGTTGGATTTGATTTAAGCAACAACACTTGGATTTGAGTGATATTTATTTTTTATGATATGATGTATATTTATTCGATATATAATATATATATATTATGTTATATATGTTATATATGTTGTATATTCATATATGATATATTCGTGTATATATATATATATATGAAAAAACATATCATATATTTATTGGATATACATATGTGTATATATATATATGTATTTGGTGTATATTTTTTATATATTTGTATCATATATATATATATATACATACATATATATGTGTATATATATATAGACATATATATATACATATACATATATATATACATGTATAGATTTACTTTCATTATATATATGTATGTATTTATATGCACATTATATTTATATATACTTACACACAAATGGTTTGCTTCTTCAAGTAGAAAACATGTGCCAAAGTTGACTGTGTTTCAAGACACATGTTCCGTTGCAAAATTCCCAGGCGTCCTGTCACTGGATCCAGAGAAAAATCGTATATGGAGAAGAGTTAAGGCATTCACTGATCCAGGGGATTTAAACAACTATATAATGGCAATATATGGATTAAATCATATTAAATCCTAGGGGCAATATGAAAACCACAATTCCATAGTTATTTAAATACAAATACGGATTAAATTGTAATAGGGACTACAGATTTCAATCTTATAAGTATTGGTACAAAAACACGCTTGGGCAAAACTTTTGCGGTGATCATGTTGGGAGTGAGCTGACATAGGGGCTATGGCTGTCGCGCGATTCCCTACATGGCATGGGGAGCCAGTTGGAGCTACAGTTATGGCCATGTATTAGTTATCACTGGTTATTTCTATGGGATTATACATTCTATAAATGGGGTTATAAGTACTTATAACTGGTAAAGGGCCATAACTGTAGTAAGAGTCTCCCAACTACATGGTACATTGTTTGGGGTCAGCATAATCCATGAACGACAGGGAACTCGTTAAATAACAAAATTCTATCATACAGATATAACAAATAAAACATAATCCATGGAACTCATTAAATAACAAAACTCTATCATACAGATATATACACATATATATATATATATCTGCATACCCTCTACAAAGACCTCACTGTGACGCCACTGGAATGATGCCACTAGTAAAGGTCACTATCCCAAAGTAGCCAGTTGTTTATCCAGATATCACCATATATATATACATATATATATACATACATATATATATATACATATATATATATATACAGATGTGTATGCATATATACAGATGTACGGTTCGTGAAGCAAAAGGATACACCATCCCCAAGTCTCCCCTTTTTTATGGGTATAAATCATCCAGGCAGCCGCCGGCCGCGGAAGACGGAGTCGCAGCGGAATATGGATCGGAAGGGCTCAAAGGTCAGCGAGGATCCAGTCGCTTAACGGATGCGGGTGTGGGTAGTGCTTGGGGTTCTTTGGGAGAATGTAAACATATCAATAGTCATGGTTCGTTAATGGGATGGTTTTTGAAATTGGGTGTACCACATTGTCTTGATTTTACTACTATGTATATTATTTGCATATATATATATAGTCATGTGTACATATATATATACACATACAAATATATATAGATATATACTTTTATCACCTTCTGTAGTGATTTAAGCACAAGACATGGTAAGTGAACTAACTATGGATTATAGCGCCCTTTTAAGTACATATATATATACATTTATGGTTTGCAATGATTTACCTGTCAAGAACATGTGGTTTTTCTACTTTAGTTCTGTTGAATTTCCAAAGGGCAACGACTAATGTCAACCGGGATTATAGCGACCCCACTGGAATGATGGTTAGTAGGGGCAACTACCCCAAAATCCCCTTTCTTCATTGTGGTGACAGAGTATTTATACATATTAATACTACAATTCAGCAAGATCCACATAAAATTTGTTTATATACCACACATACTAGTGCATTGTTTATACTTTGACTACCTATCACCAAGTCGGATGCATATCCAAGTGGGAACGAATTTCACAACCAAATCAGGCCTTTTTGCCCCAGACCAACCGATAGATAATAGGTGTATATATATATATACAACGCTGGCATCCGTTTTGAAATGGCCATTCCCACCACATTGGGAGGCTCCCAGAATGAACATTTGTGCCGACTTGTTGTTTGGCCTAATTGTATTGGTACATATGACATATAATGGGTTACCTATATAGATGCTTGATGGTTCACCCCATATATATATATACACTACATAATATATATATACATACATACATATGTAAATGGACAAACAGCGGTGTAATTTTTCATTGAAATATCAATGGAGTGTATTGGTATTAAAAAAATAGGTTGATGGTTTATCGTTCCTTGAAGGGTTGCAATCTTTCCCACACCTCCCATGAGATGATCCAGGGTCAGGGGGCCGCAAGGGCCGCAAGCCAGGTGCCCTTTCTAGCTACATTGCCTGTGGGCATAACAACATATTATACATATTGTATTTATACATATTATATTTTTAAATACATATTATATACATATTATTTACATCTTAGATACATGTTATTTACATATTATACATATTGTAACTTGTAACGACTATTACAACTAGTATATCTATAGTTAGATGGGGTTTTAAACAAAACAGAACTTACTTAGTGTACCATAAATCAACAATCCAATTTTCCTCCCTTAAATGTCCATGTTTTCAGTTTGAATCATCATTTTACGGACCTGGTCACCTGGAGCCTGGGTTGAGAGGTTTGCTCATTTTATTTCTTTAATGGCGTGTAATAGCGATGAAATGGGATCTTCCATGTTTTTACTTTTTTTGGGAGTATTTTTGCGTATACATACATATATATATAATATACACATGTACTGTCTATGTATTAATTCATATCTATACATCACCATTATTGCCGATTATACTTCCATTAGTGCCAAATTAAATGATATCTCCCAGCCACATTCTTGGACCGAGGCATTGTCCGAAAAACGCCTCCAGCAAGAAGATGCGTTGCTTGGCATTTCACCTTGGTACTTCCTGGGTTCTTCACATCGAAATGAGCAAGGCGTGTTGGGATGTGCACTAATTCAGGTGATTATTGATAGCATTTCATCCCAGCTATTCATGGTTGTGTAGCCACTCTGTTGGTTGCTTACCCACCGGTTATTCAACAAGGAGAATCACCCTTTTAATAGGCAAATCATCATTAATCATAAATCCTCTATTTTCTATGGGCCATTTTCATCCCATTTTCCGTAGCTTTCCGTAACTCATTTTCAATTCCTGGTACTCTCCCAGACACGGCGTTGAGGTTCCGGCAGAAGGCGTTGGAGGAGCTTGGGGAGTTGGTGAAAGGGGATGCCATGACCTACTTGAACGACACTGGAATTGGAACCGGCTGAGTTGGGCTGGGCTGTTCTTTGCAGAAAAAAAGTGCAAAGTGCCCCCCCTTCTCAGTTGCAACTGGGGAGGATATATTAATCTAACATACATGACATACTATATATATATACATACATATATGAGCAATCTCGACAACCCTAGGTTCACGGAAAGGACATCCACAAATTTGGGGAGGTCCCATCGCTTACCACACGTTTGTACAATAATGATTTATATAAGGTAACCTTGGGGGGTATCGCTTGCAGGAAACTGCTACATTTTTTGGTATATAATTCACAGAAATCAACGTCCAATTTGGGTATTGCTAATGTGGATATTAGAGAAATACAATGACATAACCTTGAAAAGGGGTATCGCTAATTTGGGAAGGTCCCATCGCTTTCCGTGTGTTTTTAACAATTTCCATCAATTTCCATAAACCAATGTCCGTCCAATACATATTTAGTATTGCCGGGGATTTTGCGGTGGCTCATATATATATATATATATGTATACATACTATGTATAATACATATATATATAGATGAATCTGACATATGTCAGGGTATCTAAGATTGGCCGTAGGAAGCTTCGGGATGATCCTTGGGGCTTGAAGTTTTCCCTGCCAACCATGTTGACCCCGCAACGCGGGTACTCCATGTCTTTAAATCTTCTGTGTGGTTTCTCACCATTATTGTCATAGCTTATAAGCACCTGGCCACTTTTTTTGCGGGGTTCCAGGCACACAAAAAAGGTGGGACGCGGATCCGCGGATCGCCAAGGACTGCTTCAAGAAGTGGAAACCCTCGGAGAATGCCTTGGATCCCGAGGTTCCGAGTGGAACCTTTGATCCAAAGCTCCGGGTTCAGCTGGGCAACGGCTTGATGTATTCAACTGATTTCACCTGGATATAGACATTGGAGATGTTGAACTGAGGAAGTTGAAGGATTTTCGATTTGGCTGGCAGTTTAGTGAATGATTGGTGTGACTGAAGTTGGTTGTTGAATTTGCCAGGGCCAAATCGGCAATTCTCTGACCTTTGGTCCCTTTGGGGCTCTTCTATTCGCCATTTGATGAAGCGCATATCCCAGGAAAATGCTCAAGCGAAGGTGATATTCAATGGAGCATCTATCATATTGGGAAACTCTGAGCACAACCCATTTTCTGGGAGCAAAATACCACATTGTCACGCTTCTTGAGCCGGATATGACTGGTAGTCTCGGTCAACGGGGACATGTGTCAGGTTGACTACCGGGACTACCTGAATATATTCTGAGATGGGTTTTATAACGGCCTCAAACATTCCATAAGGTTCTGAGAAGCTGTGGGCTAGAGACTGGATGTACTAAATCCAATGGCTTTTGCATTTAATCCTCATTTAATTCTCATAACCCCAAGGAATATCTTGGGACACCACACCGCATCCGGGTCACGCTCAGGACAGGGAGCCTTTGATCTTTTACATGCTGAGGAGAAGTGCGAAATCGTGGAGGCGCCAAACGCGGGTTGTGCATACCATTTGGTGGTAAAACAGAATGGAGAATACACGCACTCATGGATGTACAATATAATATTATATTATATATATAGTAAGTTGCATAATATATGCATATATATATATATGGCACTCCCTGGAATACCCCCTCACACTCATGTACATTACATATAATGTATATATATATATAATATTGTAAGAAAGGAATCAATTCAATGATGACCAAGTATTTCCAAACACGCCCCATTTGCACTGAACTAGACCTTCTTAGAGTCAAGGTATGGCCTGTAGCCAGGAGATTGCAGATGAACTGGGACTATGGAGGCTGCCTCGAGTGCTGCGGCATCAAGAATTGGGGTTACGAAATGATATGCATGAAGACATGGTGGTATGAACCTGCAAAAAGTGATGATTACTAAATGTAAATGTATGTATAATTTTGGTGTATATATATACATATATATACACAAAATATCAATGTACACACAACACACACATACATACATACAATAATTAAGGAAATGACCATGCAAGAGTGATGTGAGCAGTTGATGGTCTGTTCGCGGAAATAACAGTGCAACCAATAGCAAGTAAGCCAATCTGGCCCAATCCGGAGTGCGCGTGCAGCGTTGGATTTTTTTCCATTGAACAAGCGCAATTGTCTGGGATTGATCTAATGGGTGGTGGTACCATATCACAGGGAGAGCTGGTACCATATTACACAGTTGTTTTTGCCAATTTCAAGCACCAGGTAACCTGGCACGAGCCATCTTCATTTTTATGTTTTGCCTAGTGCCTACATCCCGTTCTTCCAATTTGATAATCCTGAGGGCGTGCTTCAGCAACATCAATGGGGATATCACGGGGACACCCTATAGGATATCTGTGTATTTCAACATGATATCAAAAACGATTTATATAATGTTTGGATATGTTTGGGACGTATGGCCTGTAAATGGTGATTGAACGATCAAGGTTTCCCTTGCGGAAATGGCATTTATTGATAATTTGGTCGTTCCCCATGGCCTGGAAAAACCCACATATGTGCACTGGTGAAAACACTGCTAAATCGTCCTTAAGGCGGAAGCGCAAAGTGCCAAGGCCTTGCGGGCCAGAGTGTGCGGGCCATGGCGAATGATGACTTGTTATCCACAAAGATTGGTGGTGATGCAAGTTTTTGTGAATTTTGGATGGTAAGTTGATGGTAAGTTGTTCATCAAATGTTGAGATGGCTTGGATATGTTTCGATCATGTGTATTCATTTGTGTCATAATTATTTGCTCTTACTTGGACTATTAAATGTCTGGATATGTCTTGAAACTCAGAACATCCAGTTGACAAGTCCCAAGCGGCGATGAGTTTTCGAAGCAAGGAGTGACCAAAAGTTCCCCTGCAGATGTTACACCCCGCAGTTTATTGTACCCATATAATATATATATATATACTTATGTATGTATATATATACAATATATACCCATACATTCACATTATTCCACAAACTTCGCATCTTTACCCATTTTGAGAAGACATAAAGAACTGAATCCCATTCACCCAACTCATCATGTTCAGCCATTTGTTTTTACCCATTTTATCATTTTTTTAATGGGCCAACGCCATCATTTCTCCGCACTTGACATTCCCTTCCAGGGCAGCTTTGGCCGTTCCGCCACAATGGCTTTCCTCAAACCTGGCGCCGCTGTGGGTGGAGCCGTTTTGGCGCCTTCGGCTGCAGGGGTGATAGCTTGGAAAACCATTGGAAAAATGGATACCTGGTTGGTGGTTTGGAACATGAATGGATTATGACTTTCCATATATCGGGAAGTTCATCATCCCAACTGACTAATATGTTTCAGAGGGGTTCAAACCACTGACTTGATACTAATGGGATATTAATGGGGATGTAATGGAAAATTCTGGATGAATTAGAATGACCTCTTGTCGTGACGTCACTGGAATAATGGGAATTGGATCGAGGGAATCATCCCCAAACAGCTGTATTTCAGCAATTCTCAGGTCAGTGAATCATGATCTCCGCGATGATAATTCAGCCGGATTAGTAGAAAGTGGTGCCCCAGTTCGTTATCTAAATTGTTTACCGCTGATGTATACTTAGGATTTCTCAAAAGTACCTGTATTGCGGACGGACCAAAATCCTGCACTAGGTGTAGGGTTTATCCCGTTATAGTTTCAAAGTTACCAATAGTTCACTACTGGTGAAGGATTGTGTCTGGCCACAGTGTACCCATTTGGTCAACTTGCAACTTGGGGGCATCATCGTACATACATTTGTACATACATCCGTTACAAACATTACACTACATTATATTACATTATATTACATTACATTACATTACATACATAGACACATGCACACATGCACACATATACACATACACACATGCACACATACCCACATACACATACACACATACGCACATACACACATACACACACATACAATCACATACACACATACACACATACACACATACAGACATACAGACATACACCCATACATCCATACATACATACATACATACATACTTACTTACGTACATACATTACATACATTACATGCATTACATGCATTACATGTTTTGCATACATTACATGTTTTGCATACATTACATACATTACATACATTACATACATACAATACATTACACACATGTTTTAACATTACATACGCTACATACATACCAAACATACATACTATACATACCATACATCCCATACATACATACATACATACATACACACATACATGCACACATGCACACATGCACACATGCACGGATGAATGCTTACATGCAGACAGACAAACATCCAAGCATGCATGCATGCATGGATTCATGCATACAGACAGACATGCAAGCATGCATGCATCAATGCATGCATACATATATATGTTTAAATCCTAAATAACATATTAATAGTACCTATGTGTATATATGTCTATATATATATTTACAGGGTGATATGATGTGGTATTTCTTTCCCAGGGTTTTTGCTGTTCCAGCCGTAAAATTGTGAAGCTGCTGCCCCACTTGGATGCCGAGTTTCTGTACTAACGGGACGGATGAAGCAGGTCATTTGTATCAGTCATTATAATATACGCGATATAACAATAATAGTAAGAATGGTGATATGTATTTATATATATATATATTGCACATATTTGTGTTTTTTTTACGACATCCCAAAACCAACATAGACCCTGAGAATCGCTCATTCATAGGGAGCATAGCACGTGCTCTCCCCAACCTATGTTAGTCGGATGTATTTTCTTGTTTCAAAGTTTGAAAGTGTAACCTGCAAAATCCGGAAATTCCCAGTCTTGTGCGTGAAATCTTCAGTTTTTCCACCATCACCATACATTTGTATAAACATTCCCATGTAGCAATATTTATATCGTAGAATATCCTAGTTGGGAAATCTCTGGTGTTAGAGTCTTTACCGCTCAAAATCTTGAAAAACGCATAACTTAGCTAACACAAATCTACAATCCCGAGATATCGCGAGGTTCAAGTTACCATATTTGCAGTTTTTGGCAGGTCTGTCACCTGCGTCTATTCGCAGACGCCACCAATGAGCAGCTCAATAAGTTGCAGGCAAGGACATGAGGCCTTGAAATTGCGGACTCCGCAATAGCATGGGATTAAAGCATGAAAAACCCTGCGAAAAGGGTGATGTTTGGTTGATTAATGTTTGATTTATGGAAATTAGTGGTGATAAAAATGGCGTTTGCGATGGTTCAGATTGAGATTTCAAGCGATTTCACTGATTGAAACATTAACATCATCAGCGATTTCACTCATGAAACAGTGGGATCCGCCGTGAAAAGTGGGACTCGACTCATCAACAACAAAACTTGGGGGTATGAACCAGCAGCAATTGAGGGGCATTTGCAATAAACACATGGAATATTTACCAGCAATCATTCCGAGAATCATCACGATCTTAACAACAAACAACATGGGCACAAACCAGCAATCAGGAGAGATTAAGCATCAAGCACTTGGATTGTATCAACTAGTAATGACATGTTTGGTTTGAAACAAGGATTCATCTATCTAGATCTATCCAAAATGGAGATGTTAGCCAGCAAACAAATGGGATATATGGGTATATGGATATATATATATATACATATATACATACATATACATATATATACATATACATATATATATACACATATATATATATATACATACATATGTATCTATATATATACATATATATATATATGGAAATATTGGTGGCGGTCACCTAGGAGCTGACTTCGCTCAATAGCTGAGATCGATTTAGAATTCATTTCCGAGCAAGGGTCGCGGCGAACCGCACCAATGTACCGGCAGGAAAAAAAATGAACATATTAAGCCAAACCAAAAGATCAGCACCGCCCAACCGCCAAATGTATTTGGCCTTATGGACTGGTTTCAACACGACCAGACCTTTCCTCAGCAGCTACTTCTGGTGGGTTTATGAGCCGCTTCCTGACTAACCTCAATTCAGGGACCGTCCGCACATAGTCACCATCATTGCCGTATTAACATCTTCTGGACCAGAGTGGTTCGATTTCCGTCTTTGATCATCCGGAATTGTTGAAGATTATCCACCAGATTTTGATCATCCAGATCTTTGATTATCCAGATGTGTTCCGGATTTGTTGAAGTTATCAGGTGTTGTGTTCCAAGGGGATTCACAGTTTTCGTTTTCACCGACCGCATCCAGGGCAGCAACGGGAGCCTGGAATTCCCCTCCACCCTCTCGGAGATTCAACGTGTCGTCCAAGTCCCAGCTGAAAGGAGATTCCGGCCCATCCCTGATCGATAGATTGGTTAGCTTTAACAGGGCTAAATAATACACTGGGATATAATTGTGGTAAGTAGTAATTAGGATATAATAGGATAAGGGATAATAGGATATTGATATAATAGGATAATAGGATATAATAGGATGTAATAGGATAATAGGGGATAGTAGGATATAGTAGGATAATAGGGGATAATAGGATAATAGGGGATAATAGGGATATAATGGGAATATCATGGTGAGATAATGGAATTTACAACCACAATGGGTAATCAAACATGGCTAGCTGGGAAATCCACCATTTATAGATTATTTTTTCCCAACTAGACATCTCCATTTATAGAGGATTTTCCATTGCCACTTGATGACACCAGAGCGTTAATATAAGTTTATGACAATTCTACCTATGGTTAACTGGGCTTAAAATCCAACTAGCTGGGCAACCAGGTAGGGTTGATAAGTTGGTTCATGCTGGTTCATAAATCAGCCTTTATAGCTTATGGTAGTTATATGTATATATACATACCCTGTGGTAAACTAACATTACTATGGAAGATCACCATTTTTAATGAGCAAATCCACTATAAATGACCATGTTCAATAGCTATGTTAAATTGCCAAAGGGTAAATATCAGTTAACAGTTAATCACCTGGAGGCGTATTCCTGTATCAAAAAAAACAACGGATCCGGCCGTAGCTTCCGAAGTACGACTGGGGGTATGACGACTGGTGTGATTTGTATCATGAACTTAGATCCATGGGGATGCAGGATTTAATGATGGATAAGTGTCATGAGTTCCAAAATCCCATACCTCATCACCATCATCATCATCATCATGATCATCATGATCATCATCATCATCATTATCATCATCATATATATATATATATATATCATATATATATATAAGCCTTACATATCATATGGTTACTATAATGGCTTCAAAATATGATATTTTGAACATGATGATCTAAGGTTTATCCAAAGTTTTCTATCCAGTATGATTCTTGTCTAAACTTTCAAGCCATGCAACAGGAAGCGATATGTAAAAATTGGAGGTACCTACTATATTATATATATATATATATTTATATATTCACAAATATAAATATATGTGTGTATATATATATATATGTATACATATCACATATCTATATATATATATACATTTTTATAATATATATATAATATAAATATATATATATATATATATCTTTATATTATATATATATCCATAAATAATGCCTATTTCTTAAGACGATGTGTCGACCGAGCCTCGAGGTGGTGCACGTTTTAGCCGCGACTAAAGGCCTCACCACACTTTCTGAGGTGCGCTTAGCTGGTCGGTGCGACCTGTCGGCTGTCGGGGGCAAATGTCCTGATTTTTTTCGGAAATCCCTGGTGTTTGGGAAAACGTAGAACAAAAAGGCAGAAGAGTGAGATACTTAATTACCTTATATTTGTTTTGATTGGGGTGGTAAGTGTCCCTATTTTTGGGGGAATTTTACGAAATATTCTGAAAATCCCCTGAGACAAGCTGTTGGAGTCTTCCCAATAGTTGGGTGATGTGTTATTTTCGGACATTTACCAAGCCCTGTAGCGGGTAAAATCACAACAGTGGACTGGCTGGAGAGAGCTTGCACCAATGACCTGGGGAGAATTTACCCAGATGTGATTCCTGATCTTCACAGGAAGAGGCACCGGTTATCGGTTGGATTTATGGTGGTGCTTCGGCAAATCCAGTCTAAAAGCTCCAAATATATTGATAGCCATTTGGTTGGTGGTTTGGAATATTTTTTTATTTTTCCATATCTTGGGAATTTCATCATCCCAACTGACGAACTCCATCATTTTTCATACTTGTAGGTCAACCACCAAACAGTCATCATTAGGATCAATCCTGTCACAATTATGCCACAACGTTTCAAGTTTTTCAAGTGCTCATGGATTTAAATCGTGAAATCCTTTGATCAATGATCAATAATCTCTTCCCCTGCCAGTACTGTAATATCTACCTCCACCAAGTGGCCCCCAAATATATAAATAGATACAGCATAATTAGAAGATACAGCACTAAACCAAGATTTTGTTTGAAAGGGGTATTGCATGGATTCATGTTTTTTTGAAGCATGAACGGATTCTCATTGTCAGATCCCATTCAAAAACATCAACGGCATTTCAATCATCATTATCTCCATCCATCACCATCCGTCACCATAAACCACCAGCAACCACCTTTAATCACCATTGATCACTATTCTTGATGGGTTTATATAACCATTAATCACCATAAATCAGCATTGTTCATGGATTTAGTCACCAAAATCACAATTGTTCATGGGTTTAATCACCATAAATCACTATGTCCCATGGGTTTTTTATGGTGAAATTCATTCCACGGGTGAAGAAACAGCTCCATCTGTTTGCGAACAACGGCCAACAACGGGCCCTTCTCAGGGAACCGGCGCGGCGCGGCGCCTCGTGGCCTATGACACTGGGACCTTTGCACAGGAACTCAGGAGGCGCGTCTCAGAACGTGTTTGGAGCCCTACAATGTGAGGCCCCCAAGATAGCTAAGTTGGTTTATAACTCCAATAACTATGGTTTATGGTATTTATAACTATAGTTACTGAGGCTTAGAAACCAACTTATATCTTGGGGGCCTCACATTGTAGGGAATGGTTATATCAGTTGATATTACTGTAATGTCAACCCCGGATTTTGCTAAACCATGGTTTAAGAAATTAGGGGGTACTCCTGCAATAGTCATTTCATCTGATACTTAAATGGTACCCTCCTAATTAAACAGCCGTTTGGGGTTTATTAATCCAGGGTTGACATTAATTGATACTAATAATTGGTAATGGGATATTAATGTTAGTAGTAATGGTAGTGGTAATAGTAATGGTAATGGGATTCTATAGTAAGATGATTATCCTTATTTATATTGCTTAATGTGAATGTATGAGTAATCGGACATTAATGGATATGGTGTAATATATACCGTGCTTAGGATTGGTGCATTAGATGGTGGGAAGAACATTAGTAATGGAATATGAATGGATACTATGTATATTATAAATTAATTGGTGATTCATAACTGATGTATATTTCATAATTGTATTAATGCTAGTTTGAGGATATGAATGGATACTAATGCTTGTTACGTTTAACAATGAATGGATGGTGAAAAAACAACAGTGGTTTGTTTGAATGATTTTGTAACGTTAGTAATGTGATATGAATGATATTAAGGTGACCTTAATGGGTTACTAATGGGATAACCTGGATTTTTTTGCTGGTCTTATCAATGGGAATTTCCTATGTAAGGGAATATCCCCACAAAAAATGGCCTTATATGGTACAGTACCTCCATTTTAGGATCCTGGAATTTCCATTGGTCTTAGTCATGTTTTTTTTTCTTGATGATGTTCCAGGGTGTAATGGATAACCACAGGATGTTATCGGGTGTCCCTACAGCGGAAAAATCAGGATGTAACCTCTACAACGGGAAATTCAACCATCATCCCGAAATAATTATCCACAATCTAAATGGTTAGAAATTGATAGGGATTTGACCATCTATAGAAACGGGAATCTCATGGGTTTATGGATCCGTAGCTTCTGAGCAAGTCTTTCGGGTATGACTGGGGGGGTGATTTGTCGAAGTTTCTGGATTGGGATGAAATACGATGGGAACCATCATGGCTATCCCATACCCCCAAAGATATGGGAAAATATGGGACGAGATAAGATTGAACCCTGGTTGGTGGTTTGGAACATTTGGATTATTTTTCCATATTGGGAATTTCATGATCCCAACTGACGAAGTCATTATTTTTCAGAGGGGTAGGTCAACCACCAAGCAGAACCAGTTCCACGGGATCTCAACTGTGCATATAATGGGGGACAAAATGGTTCAAGAATTACCCCACAGTTATGGGAATGTGGGAAACTGGGGTGGAACATGGAGATACTATATATATATATGTTTAGACACAATATATTTGGGAAAATAACCGGTAAGAATGAACACCCAATTTGCAACAACTTGCCCAAACATTTATGGAGAAAAATAGATATTTCAGGTGGTGCCCCAGTTCGGAATCGCTAATTTGGTAAAGTTAGCTCCCAATTTCACGCAGGGGTTTATGATACATGCATATATCGAACCAACTATATAATGGTCATTAGAAACCAACAAAACTGCGGAGGCACCAACTTGTGTCTCTAGATGAGTCGATAGTCATTAATTCATTATCTGGTTGGTGGTTTGGAACATTTGGATTCTTTTCCATATATTGGGAATAACAACACCAACTGACTTTCATAATTTTAAGAGGGGTTGAAACCACCAACCAGTTATAGAAACATGATCAAAGCCATGGCTTCTTGTGAATGTTCCACATCTGCTGTGGTATAGATTTACCACCTTGTACCTTTCAGTCCTGGACCAGCTCACGGACATTTTATGTCACCACCATTTTTCGGACCCAGATGAAGTGGAACCACCTGGTATAGATCTGGGTAATATGATGGTGAGTGACATGGTAAGGAAATGCAGAAGAGGTAACTATCCCAAAATGGCCTCAAATATGGTTGAAGAGTTTTTTTTCTTCGAGATTGTGGTTAGATATGTATTTTTTTTGGAGTTATAAACCTAGCCTCATATGGTAAAATGCCCAGATATATTTGACACTTGCTGGTCACCAGGAAGTTGTCTGATATCCAGCCGGGCCAGAGCAAGGCGCAATGGAGCAACGTTTGACCAAGACACAAAGCGGACTTGAACCGTGAAAAACCTTGAACAATTCTAAACTAATGGTGATCAATGGCAGATTAATGGTGATTCATGGTGGTGAAACCCATGAAACATGGTGATTCATGATGGTTCAGGGTAATTCATATAGATCCATCCCATTGAAAATGGCACATGGTTTCTATTTGAGGTATGGTCAAGATTATGGTAGATCACTTTACTAGGGAGTGCACCCTTGGTGTCTGGAAAGTGCATCAAACATTGTACATGCAAGAGGAGAGATTAGCAATACTCTCCGCGATACCTTAGCGATATCCATTTGAACGCAGATAGACCCTTTTCTCCTTTCCTTTCCTTTTCCTTTCCTTTTCCTTTTCCTTTCCTTTTCCTTTCCTTTTCCTTTCCTTTTCCTTTCCTTTTCCCTTCATTTTCCTTTCCTTTTCCTTTTCCTTTTCCTTTCCTTTTCCCTTCATTTTCCTTTCCTTTTCCTTTCCTTTTCCTTTCCTTGTCCTTTCCTTTTCCTTTCCTTTTCCTTTCCTTTTCCTTTCCTTTTCCTTTTCCTTTTCCTTTTTCCTTTTCCTTTTCCTTTTCCTTTTACTTTTTCCTTTTCCTTTTCCTTTTCCTTTCCTCTTCTGGAACGTTCCTCTTCGTTCCTCTTTTTTTTCTCTTTTTTTCCTCTTTCTTTTCGCTTTGTTTCCGTTTTTTCCCCCTTCCTTTCGTCTTCTTTTCCTCTTCCTTTCGTTTTCCTTTTCTCTTCCTTTTCTTTTCTTTTCCTCTTCCTTTCCTTTCCCTTCCTTACACAGATTTGTTCCTGAATCGTCATACCGGTATTAAACCCTGGTTTGCGATGAGGCCCCCCAAAGAGCCTTTGCCCCCCTTGCCCCTTGCCCCTATCAGGTGCTTTCGGACGAATTCTCTGCTGCGCAACGGCGCTTGGTGCTGCTGGCGGAGTTCGCTTCCTTGCAACATCTTGGGATGTCCTCTGGCAATTTGACATAGCTGTTGAAAATGGTCCATTTATAGTTGATTTTGTTATTAAAAATTGCACTTGTGACAATTGTGATTTTCCATAGCCATGCAATCAAGATTTTTAGATATTTTTGTTCTGAGGAACGCAGTCTTTCAACATCTTCCCACCTAGGGTCCCGGGTCTAGCTTAGTTGAGGCTCCAAGTGGATCCATGGTATGTGGTTCACTTATTCCACATGCGACTCTTGACCATCTCACTGTATGCAGTAAAATGATCATCCCCTAACAAAGTGATGATTGGTGTGGTACACGGTGGTGGACAATGCACTCCTTGTGGGTCGGTGCTCCAATTCTGATTCCCATAACCTAGGGGTTTAGAAAGAGGTGGTGCCCCTCAGCATCCGTTGGTTTGTAACTAGGTTGATTCGGGTTATTGGTGGTTATTATAGCATGCTATAGATATAGTTAGGCGGGCAATATCATGGGTGGTTATAGTTAAATTGGTGGTTATAATTTATAACATGTTCTAACATGTTATAACTATAGACGAGCAACATGCCAACAGAATCCAACAAACATATGGAGGTTTCCTAAAATGGGGGTACCCCCAAATCATTCCTTTTAATAGGATTTTCTGTTACAAACCGTCCATTTTTGGGTAACCCCATTTATGGAACTCCCCATATCATTAGCCAATATACATCAATTACACATCTCAATTTCCTTCTTTCGAAATCACCATTTCTTCAGCTCGAAGAAGCATTTACCACAGCGATGGCCAGGTCCATACCATTGCGATGGAAATGGGTCTTGATGTCTGAAACCCCAGGGGAACCACTGGATGAATCAGGGTGATCTATAGAGGCATATATATATGCCTATATATACGTTGTATGTATAGTACATATTTGTGCAAACATGGGCGTTGTCTGATATCTAGGCATTTTTGTTGGCTCCTGTACAGTAAGTGGTATGTTTTCTCGGTTTGTATTCGACCCCCATGGTTGATGCTGGAGAGGCATCATTCACCCCCTGGTGTCATCAAACCTAGCTAGCTTGGAAAATCCCCGAACTCAACGGTGGATTTTCCAGCAAGCCATGTTTGATTAGCAGAGGGTATCATTGATATGCAAAGAAATGATGAGTTGTTTGCCCATCGATATGAATCAATGGGGTGAGTTTGGGGTGTGTTTTTTCTTTTTGCGACATGAACCAACAGACCAACATCAATCATCCCTCCAGAAACGTTTGAGGCTACCGTTTCAATCCGTTTCATTGGGTTACTTTATTGAACTATGTTCAGGAAACCATGTTTTCTCCAGACAAATCTAACCCTCGGGCTCCAAACACCTGAGACTGTACTTGGGGGTCTTTGGAGCCTAAGCACCTTCTCAGAGGGTATTTGGAGCACTAGGCTTTTCTAGTTTTCTGTATCTGTTTTCCTTCGCGACTAATCATTCAACAAATCCATAGACTAAAGATACTTGATCGACCACATCCCTGGAGGATTTCTTATAGCCCATGAGGCCGCAACAGAGCCATAAGACAATACCCATTTCATGGTTGTTTCTTTTTTTGGGAATTCTGTGCCGTGACCATTACAGTATTGATCCATAATAGAATATACCCTCTGGTAAACTAACATAACTATGGAAAATCACATTTTTTTAATGGGTAAGTCCACTATTTCAATGGCCATTTTCAATAGCTATATATGTAAACGTTTACCAGGCCGGGTCGGCCAGATTTATTGGCCAGGCCCTCAGGGTTATTTCACAATAGACCATCAATTGTTTCACCATCAACCAGAACACAAGACTACACAAGACTAGCTATTCAGACCAATCACAAAGCCATAACGTCAACCCTGGATTAAGAAACCCCTATATCGACTGTTTAATTGGGAGGGTACCATAAAAAAGTATCATATGAAATGACTATTCGAAGGGTAATTACCCCCCTAATTAATGAGTTTATGGCATGAAACCCATGGTCAAGTTGGTCAAGTGCAAATCCTGCACCCTCAAGCATCAACCACCAATATTTGATAGATGTCAAAAGGTTGAGTAAGAATGGCTATTTTATGATGTAAGACCGTTTGTTTATATTCCATTATATCCCATTATGTTCCCATATTTTGTTGGTTGATCAATCATCCCCATTGCTATGGCTGGAATATATGCAATTATATGCAATATACTGATACCTACATCTTCCATGTGGTATTTCTTTCGCCGTTGCTCCAAAAGGCATAAATTTAAGTCGTTCTTGTTTTTGCAAAAAAAAATGCCGTTGTAAAAATGTCTCTTCACGTGGTCGGCTAATGGCGCCGTTTGGTCGGGCAATGTCGCCGTTGCAAAATCATATATTTGGAATCATTTGGAAAATCTCAAAAGACGCCGTTCCACAGAAAAAAGGTTGTTCTTTCGGAAACCCAATCTTTTCAATCAAAAGGCAGAAAACTATTGCACCATTTTGAAGATACAGGTGTATATATATATAATCATATATAGATATATACATCAATATGGGTACCCTCTGGTAAACGTTTACATAACAATGGAAAATCACCATGTTTAATGGGTAAATCCACTATTTCAATAGCCATTTTCAATAGCTATTTTGACATAACCAGAGGGTAATATACAATTCATCCCATTACATCCATCCACCAGAGGTGAAAAGTCGTGGCACGTCGGGCTATGAGGCAAGATTGGCGAGATCAATGGAGGTTTCCTAAGTCATAGGGGTAGCCCCAAATCATCCATTTGAGGAGGATTTTCCATTACAAACATTTATAAACCATAAATTTTTGGGGTACCGCCATTCCAGGAAAGCACCAAATGACGAAACAGGTCGTTGCAACAGTTGCAACTCGGAAAGCCTCGAACTAAATGGAGGTTGAAAGCCGGGAAAAGTATCGATGGATTCTAATGTGGGTAAAACAATTTCATAAAGCATCCCCCAGTCATCACCATAAATAGTTGGTATGGTTACCATTCCCAGTCATGGGTTTATGATTGTTTTACCAACATTAATTGGATATTTAAATGGGAATGTCATGGATAATTCTGGATGAATTACCCTCTGGTAAACGTTTACATAACTATGGAACATCACCATTTTCAATGGGTAAATCAACTATCAATGGTCATTTTCAATAGCTTTTTGTATGTTTACCAGAGGGTAGAATGACATCACGGCGTGACGCCACTGAAATGATGGGAATTGGATCAGGGAAATCATCCCCATAGCTGATCATAGCTGGCCGCAAGTTTCAGCGATGTTCAGAAGAGTGAAGTAATAGAATTCAGCCAGAATAACGGGGATAATTACTCACCTGCAATATGGGGAGAATATTATTGGAGCAATACAGTATATTTATTCTTAACCTGTCATATTTGATATGACTGGGTGTCATGTGGATATGTTTGATATATAGAAAGAAAAACATATGAATAGGGATTAAACAAAAACAGTCATAATGTGGAATTGTTGGGATTGATAGGAGTACTAGCGGCATTGTCATGGTGAGCCATAACCAATAATTCATGATAGTAATTACTAACCAGCACTTTGTCTTCATACTAAAACTATAATATTGTACAATATGGTGATATGAGGTAATTACTGACCACTATTAAATATTACCATAACATTACGCATCACATGATGTTGCCAATAACAAGTAACGATACAGGGTTAAAGCACTGCTGCTGCAACTTCCACAGCTGATCCAAAAGTCACCTATAGAACAAAAAGATCTATAAGAATCGTTGGTGGTTTGGATCATGTTTTTTGTTTTTGTTTTCCTTTTTTTTCCATATATTGGGAATAATCATCCCAAATGACTTTCACATGTTTCAGAGGGGTAGGTATATACCACCAACCAGGAATGGATCATGTATGCAATAACCTAAGGTATGGCTGTTGGAACAATAAGCCTATTCCACCAGCACCATGGATGGTTCAACTTCGACAAGACAGAGTTGCTGGTGATGGGGCCCTAGGTTGCTTAAGAGTGACACGTCACACATGGATTTGGTATCTTTCATGTTTGCTATAGTTATATGTTATATCAGGTTATATCTAGTGTATCTGATATTTTTTAATGCATGTATATAGTACATATTAAATATAAATATATATTATATAGAGAGAGAGAGAGAGAGTGGGACGCTGTGCCCTCCACAACTTCCCTTTCTGTATGTATATATATATGTAGAAGTACATGTTATTCCATGTTCCAAGGCCTCAACAGTAACATCCAGGTCTTCAACCTGATGAACTTCCGTGAGGAATTGCAAGATCAGCTCATGAATCTGGACGTGGGCAAGGTGCTAGCGCCGGAAAAAGGCCAAGCAAATCAGGAAAAGAAGGCTTCATCAGTGGATGGAACGTGTTTTTTTTGCCAGACAAAGTCAGTTTGCAACTTTTAAACAACGGATATTGTGGATTTACCATCTGGTTATTTAACATAGCCATGGAAGCCATCACCATTTTTAAGAACGGTAAACCATCTATTTCGAGTAGGGCCATCAACAAACCATGGCTATGTAACAAATAGCCAGAGGGTAATTGGGTAAATCAACAAACATGGGGATAAAACTCATTGGTGTTTTATCGAGTCTGTGGACCAATGGAAGTTGAGAAGCCCTGTGGCAACTTGGTGGAAGGTTCGATAGCAATCGCAAAAGCTTCAGTTGTGCATGTACACTATATATAAAATATTATAAAATGATGTTTACCTGTAATTGTATACATTTTTGTTACATGAAAATAATATATATATATATATACAGATATACATGAAAATACATATATGTGTATTTATTCATATAGGACTTAGATGACCAGAGGGTAATTGGGTAAATCAACAAACATGGGGATAAAACTCATTGGTGTTTTATCGAGTCTGTGGACCAATGGAAGTTGAGAAGCCCTGTGGCAACTTGGTGGAAGGTTCGATAGCAATCGCAAAAGCTTCAGTTGTGCATGTACACTATATATAAAATGTTATAAAATGATGTTTACCTGTAATTGTATACATTTTTGTTACATGAAAATAATATATATATACAGATATACATGAAAATACATATATGTGTATTTATTCATATAGGACTTAGATGACAATGACAAACTCTGACTCGTGGGGCCTTGAGTGGTTCACTGTGATCTGTTTTTGGTGGCTTCTTGGTGCGGACTTGATCGATCCGCATCCGCTCGAATTACAGTACTATGTGGATGAGGGTTCTGACTCCTTTTTCATCCTTCAAGAAGATGTAGGTATATATGTGTTTCTTTCTTGGTAGTGAGGTTGACCTTCCGTTCCATGAATCATGGTGGAAGAAAGATCCTTTCCTTTCGCTTACTTTAGCTTGGCATACGATCGGATGGGTATTGAGTCGACCCAGTAGCATGTCAATCCATGGTAGGTATATGAGTTGTAAATGACCATACTGCTAAGTACATGGGCGTTTCAATGGACGTATGAGGTTATCTGACCGCAAAGAACACTGTTCATAGCCATTTATATTTCGAGCGAATACTTCGACATGTGACAGTCACTACCCGGTGGTTTGGAGGGAGCAAATGAGCCACTCAGGTATCCATATTCCCTATGAAACGGAGAGCTAAGGAGCTGCCCTTGAGTCTCCCAACCATATTAGATAGTAATCTATCCCATCATATTTCACTAAGATTTCACATGATATCACCATGTTTTTTTCTCCCATCTAGTAAATATCTGTGATTTAGTGAGATAAATCTGATTTCTAATCATATAAACACATATTAATGTAAAACACATTAAAACAGAGTAAATTTCTCCACCTTTTTTTTGTGATTTTTTTTACCACCTATACCATAACGAACACGTGCCGTGCCGGCTCCGTGTCGTCGTTATCAATCTCGAGGTGCACCATTTCGGTGCCAGCCTCTCCGAGCAGGACGTGGTTTTCTTTGGAGAGCGGCGGGGCCAGGACGTGGTGAAAAGAACTTGTAAAAACAGCAGCCCCCATTAAAAATCATGGAGATATACATTATATATAATAATTATCTATAATGGTAGTGATATACTATTGATAATATATATATATACTTATTAATCATACTATAATGCCAATCACCGGATTAATAACACCCCCCCAGAAGGTAGGGGGGTACCTTCTGGTTAGTTTCTTGACCCCCCCTTAATAAGAAGCAACTCTGAACCATAAAACTTTGGATATGGCTTACGTCAATTAGATCTTAATAGAATTCTATTGGATTTGTTAAAATCTCATGGATCAGAAAGGTGGTTGATTAATCAGGGGCAAACCCTGGTTATTATTAATGGGGGACATGGGCTCATGGGGGGTACCCTTTGGGAGCTATCCAAACTGATGATTTTTATAAAGATTTTAATTAAAAATCGATCATGTGGGGAATAGTTGTTTTTTGAAATTTTCAATGATCAACTTAAACCTTAACTATAACAATGATTATAAAAAACAATGTAAAAAATGGAAATAAATAGAATTGGAAATAAAAATTGTTGGATAAAAAATTGATTTCAGCACTGGTGTTTTTTTAATCGGGGGTGTTTATTAATCTGGGGGGCCACCTGTTTTTAAATTGCATTTTTTTGGGGGGAGGAGGAGGTTGATTAATAACGGGGTGTTGATTAATCCTGACTTGACATTAATGATGATATTATGTGTATATATATATGTACCGAACATAGATTACATTATTTGTTTGGGGCTAACCATATAATTATCATCCTTGGACATATACAAATATGTTGCACGGAATATGTATACCAAGATCTACCCCACAAACATGTCAAATGCAGGCAACCCCCTGGATGACAAGCCCCCGATTCGCATCGGCAATTTGTGTTCGAATTGGTTACTGGCTAAGCGAAGCAGCGAAGCTACTTGAACCAGGCTATCGGGTATCCATTGTTTCGAATAGACATTGGTTTAATCCACAAACATCACAAATGTTTGGTAGAAAAGAGTGCTCTATCATGCTGTATCCACATTTTTACACAAAATCTATTTTTTTGTGGGTGTTGCTGGCATCTACCAAGATTTCCAAGAACCGCGACTTTCGATGGCGGTCAAGTTATTGGGATCAGCGGTCCCGAACCAATCGATGATTCCACTATTGGAGGGATGGTTTTCCGTGGACTTCAGTTTGCCATGCTAGTCTGGTTGGTGGTTTGGAACATTTTTTATTTTTCCATATATTGGGAACAATAACCCCAACTGACTTTCATATTTTTCAGAGGGGTTGAAACCACCAACCAGTAGTGATTTGCAGCTTCTAACGTGGGTATACTGAGGGATGGTCTCCATCAAAAAAACAAAACTACATCGTTGATGTACAGTATAATTGCCGCATGTGTGGCATGTATAAACTGGAATCCAACTTCTTAGAGTGTGCAATCTGCAAAGGAATTGATTTGGCCAACAAACGTGGACTTGCGGCCAAGACAATAGGGGCATTGCGCACACAAAACCCATGGCATTTTGTGATGGAAACTCTGGATGGTGTCGGACACTGATCGTAGAACTTACCTTGCAAAAAAAGGAGTAGGGCAACATGTACCCTCTGGTTATTTAACATAGCCATGGTATAGATGGCCCATTTATAGATGGTTTACCTATTAAAAATGGTGATTTTCCATGGCTATGCGCAATAACCAGAGGGTAAACGCAACAGACACATTTTTTTTTGGCCACCCCAGCTCTCAGCACATAACAAAATTCATAAAAAGCAATCAAAGACCATCCGAAATGGGCCAGGAACGGCAAGTCGTGCACGAGACAGCGATGCACCTGGGATTGACTGCCCACACCGAAGGCCGGGAAATGGGGGTTATAGCAGCTTAACCAGATTCCGAAAATATGTTCCTTTGTGGTTTGAAAAAGAAGGATTTGACCATATTTGACCATACATGGAAATTAACATCACGGCAGGGATGTAGCATGCAATATATATAACTCTTGAAACCAAAAAACTTGTGGTTGCAAATACTTTCATTTTTGATGATTCCAGTTGACGGTTATGTGTTTCGATATGTTGAAACCACCAATCAGTATATAATGATAGATAGCTTATATTGAGTCTCATTGAATCTGAGTTAACATGTTTGAAGATGTATATGTTTTGATATAATGTTAACGTAAAACAATCATGACAACCATCCCCCAAGTCACCATCCGAAATAGGTCGTATAAACATGTATAAACAATTTCCAAATGGGTGGTAAAAATGGCATTGTTTTACCTACAAGACACCGCTTGACGACGCCGTCTTAAGGGCCTTTGGGACGAAGATTTACAGCAGTTCTAACTGGACTTGTTTCGGGTATGAACCAATCAGTTTAATTATAACTACTTAGCCAACTTATACTTGACGGGGCACCACCTGGCATGATAATATATGATAATATAGTTCTGATTGTTTGTTCCTAGCAACTCCCACTGAAGTGGCACTTTCCGCTAGGAATTGTAGTTGCAAAATTATTTTTGGGCCTTCTCCTTGATTGTCAATTGTATTTGTTGATGCTTTCAATATTATTTTGGATCCCTGGCCGCATAGCGTCTAATGTTGAGTGTGAAATTTGAGAGCACGACGCAACCCCAAGTTGACAAGATGACTTTGCAGAGCCCTCATTTGCATTACCAACTTGTTGTTGGACGAACGCATGTTTGCAATAACTCATTGTTCTACGCTCAAAAGCAGACCGAACAACAACACGTCATGAGACCCGACAGACAAGACACGGGTCATCACGGGTCCGGGCTTTGGATTGCAGATGTATCAAAGTGTTTGGTGATTGGATTCTGTGCGTATTGTTTCAATTTCTTCTTGGCATTGGCGTACAAACTTCAATTGAGTTGACAAATTTAAGGAATGACCAATAAATTCCTTGGATTTCCTTGGCATTGATTTTGCCTTCGACGTGCCTGGGCCCCTGGGCCATGGGCATGCCACGGCTAAACGGCTATGCAGTGACGCTGAGCGCCAAGCTGGGCATGGCCTTTTGAAGGCGAGCCGACAGGCACTGGAACAGCGTACCAGACGGCCACACCATGACACCGCCAGATCCTGCGGTTTGCAGAAGCGCGGTGCCCGAAAAAGTCGGTTCGATACAATATCTACGGCAAATCCGACTTCTCAATATAAGCACCCAACTCGATTATCATTAAAATTAAGAATAGACAACTCTGAACATGGGATCCCACATGTTTGCTGGTGAAATCAACAATTTCCTTGGTGAAATCGCCAAACTGTTACTCAGTTTTTGTTGATTATAAATTATAAATCACATGTTCCATCCATCTTCCCAGTTTTTCTTGGATAGATTACACTTATATTACACTTTTTCTATGTTTTTGTGGGTTGAATCCCATTTCCCCTGTGTTTCATGGTAAGATCCCCATTTTTTCATGGCCAAACTCCACGACTTTCCACCGTCCGGTGCGGTCCCGCCAGGCGGCCGCACCACGCGCCACGTCACCGTGGCCAACCTGAAGGACTTCATCGCCGGCCTGCGGGCGCGGATGGCGGCAGCTGGGTGGTGATTTTTTTTTTTCGGTGGATTTTTTTGGGGGGGAAATCTGGTGGATTTTTGGGGACATGGAAGGATTGATTCTGGTGGGAAGTATGGGACATCAGTTGTTTTTTGTTTATATATATATCTAATAACTGGTTGGTGGTTTGGACCATGGATTTTATTTTCGCCAATAGGAACTGGATGATGATCCAATCTGACGAACTCCATCATTTTTCAGGGGGGTAGGTATACCACCAATCAGTATTGGGATACATTGGGATCCAATGGGATTTAAAATGATGTAATATGAACGGATTATCAATGGGATTGTAGACCTAAACGGTGGTTTTAGGATCCAAAAATATAAGGATTCTATGCAAATAACAGCAAGGGATATAACACTGAAAAAAATCTACAGGAATTAGTTTTCAATTGTAACTTCGCTACAAACAAGTTAAGGACTAAAAGTATAGAATAGTATGTGGTGAGGGAAGGGGAGAAGGAGAAGATATGGGAGAAGCCACAGCCAGACAGGCTGAGGTGCAAAGTGTGCAACAAGGCTGTCAAAGGTGAAGAGGCGCTGAAAATGTAAATGAGAAACGCGGCGTGGAGCTTACCGGGGTGAATCCACCAGCGATCCATGCCCCCTTTGCGGAAAGATGATTTCGAAAGAGGAATGGCCACTGGAGCAACACCGGGAGAATGGTTGCCATGTTGCAGAGAAGTGGATGTTGAGGTTGAGGCCTCGGAAGCCAAGTCGGCCTGATGGCCACTGTAGCCCTTGAATCCTCCAAGCCATGTTGATGGCAAACCATTGATTTGGCATTGACACGTCAAGGGTTTTTCATACACATTTCTATGGTTTGGTAAGTACATTGAATGATTTTTCAGAAAAATTGCCAAACGAGTGTTTCGGGGAGATGGTGTTCCCCTTCTATCCTTTTCATGTCCATGAATTTCCAATGTTTTCCATATGGGTGTTTCCCAAAAATAGAGGTAGCCCGAGTTATCATCCAAATTTTCCATGGGGATTTTAACCATGAAATTCCAACCATCGAGCTCTGGGGGCATCCCCACAAGGTGCCCCAGTTCGGAATCGCTAAGTTGGTGAAAATAAGTCCAAGAACTAGGGTTTATGGTATTTATAACTATAGTTACTGGGGCGAATCTAAACCAACAAACATATCTTGGGGGCCTCACATTGTATAATCAGGATGAATCAGGGCCAGACAGATCAACGAACTATTTATAGTCCCAATATCTAGGGTTGATGAATGGGGGTTATATTACTATAGTTAATGGGGATTATAAAAAAACCAACGTTCACATAACTGGTGGGGCCCATCCTGTAGTTGGTTTATAAAACCATTATAATCCCCATTAACTAGTTCGTTATATCTACCATAAACCATTGTTAAGCCACTTATAAACCAACTTAGCTAGTTTGGGGTATCCCCATGACTATGGACACTCCCATATCTTCTTTTGGCGTCAACGGTCGCCGAGGCGCTTTTGGAGCCGGAGGATTCGGAACTCTTTGAGAACCTGGCGCCGATGCAAATTGTGGTCGGGGGACCAGTCTCAGCCGTGAGGAAGTCATGGGATATTCATGGGATATTAATTAATGGAATATTTTTGATATAATGTGGGAAACACAATAATAAACCATCCCCAATTTCACCGTTTTTATAGGTGGGATTTGAACCATTCCCAGTCGACTGGATGGTTAAAATGGCATTGTTTTGCCTTTTTGTTTCATGGGATATTTTTATGGGGAGACCATGGGATGCAACATCAACTGATGGTATGACTGGGATATGATATGATTACTGGGTGATGTGTACTTTTGAGATGGCTAGATCCAAAAGGTGGGGCCCCTGACAGCCAAGTTGGTTTAATCAATTTAATTTATGTCAAACTGTTGGGCGCGACCGGGAGATGTCTGACTACATTACTAGTTAGGGTTATAATCCTATCCCCCCAAGATGAAACACCAGCCAGAAACCATGCTGGATGTATATTTGGGGGATGGGATTCTAACCAGGGGATTATGTCCCAGCTTGGAGGTTATCATCTCCTAGAAAACCCTCCAAGTGAGCAGGAACTTACCCATCAGGGTTCCTGAACAGTTACTGGGATGATCCTGAAATTAGCCATGGATGAACAATGATCAGGGAGACTGATCTTCCGTAGTTTTTATAACATACACGTGTTTGTGGAAACACAACACATTTTAGCAGAGAACTTGGGCTTCCAAGTCCTCATTTTTTTTCCCTCAAAACCTGACACCCTGGAAACATTAAGCAAACACTGACAAATCAGCCATCGCCCCACCTATATAAATTGGATTGTGCCATGCGCTAGGTGTTGGAAGAGTGTTTTTGACTCGATATATATATATATAAGTACTATATATATATAAGTACTATATATAAGTACCCAAAGTGGCTTGTTCAAGTATGCTGTTGCTTACCCGTCATTTGCTGCTAGATGAGTTTGGGCGATTTGAACAATAAAAAGGGTCAATTACCGGTTGTCATACATTAGCAAATACCAGGGTTGAACCAGGGCAGTTCTACAACTTTGTCAAACTGTTAGTACGGGCATGGTAGGCAACTCTAGTATACCCCAATCTGTTTGATGGTTCTTCCCGTGATACCTAACAATATATTTGGAATATATATATATATATTATAACTGAAAAATCGTTCAAAACAAATTATTGATATCTTCAAAGGTCCATTCCCATTACCCGATTATATCCATTTGTATCAACATTTTATCCAGTTGCACTATCTTTAACCCAATTATACATCTCAGATTTTTTAAGACCAAAAGTCAAGAGTTCAACAGTTTGTTTTTTTCACTAAGATGTATCATATCCAATGGTTATCCTTTCTGTATTCCAAATCAAAACCCAATAAAACCAATTTAATCCCATGAAAAAACTTGAACAAACTCATTGGATCCCATTATTGTCCCATTAAATCCCCTTTAAAACCCAGTAAATCCCATTACATTCCCAGTAAATCCCATTAACACCCATTCGATCCCCCATTGTCTTCCCACGAAAACACCAGGCTGTGGAGAACTTGGCTGCGGAGTTGGGTCTGCATTGTGCCAGGAGAGCGACTTATGGCCCTTAACAGTGGGATTATATGATTTAGATGTAGCTATATCAAGTTTAAATGCTAACTACAGTAGGTTAACTATCACTAAAACTATAAACGGAATTACAACACCTGCAACTAGTTGATTATGTATATATATATATATCACTTAAATGATGTTTTTCAGGCTGTTCTAATTGTTAATGGGCTTTAAGTGTGGGTATAGAATGCGGATATAATGTGGTTATAATGGGATAGAATGGAGATATAACTGGATACAATTCCTTGCCTAGCTTCTGGTAATTTAACGTGCTGGTAGCTATTGAAAATAACCATGTTTAACCTCAATCGCCATAAAACATCTATAATCGGACCATGTTCATCCATTTTCCTTAAACGTATAGTTGGATTCTGAGGGTATACATTTATTTCATTAGTTTTTTGTAGTTAGGTTTAATCGAACTAACTTTATGATTATCAGATACGTAAAACAAAGATGAAATAAGGGTATATATTGGATGAGTAAAAGCAAACCATGGTTAGGGTGTCGCTATTTTTTGGGGGGCTCCAACGCTTCCCTTGGTTATGGACATATTGGGGTCTTGGAGTAGTTTTGTTTTGACATGGATGGGGCTATACACATACGCATTCACGTCTGTATGTATGTGTGTTTTGTTTCTGTGTAGACATGATGAATCGTGGGAAACATAGTCCATTTTAAATTGAGTTTTATTATTTTTTGCCTTGGGAAAAGTATGGAGGCATACATATTTGTTTTGTGTTTCCATACTACAATGCTTCGTCGAAATGACACTGCATTTATTTCAACAAACACAATGTACTTATACATGCATACACTTGTATATCATATATATAATAATAATTATTATTGTTATTGTTCTGATGATGTTGATTATTATTATTATTACTATTTTACACTTGTTATTGTTATATTTATGTGTATATATAAATATATATTTTATTATTATTATTATGATGATGATTATTATAATACTATTATTTTTCACTTTTTATTGTTATTGTTGTTATTGTTATGTTGTTTTTCTTATGTCTGGCCCTGTGGATCCAGCCATATCCGTAGCATAGCCTTGGGGATTTCGGGATCGCCAGGAGACCGGGGGGCAGCGTGCTGGTGTCCATGTCTGAGGTCCCAGGCATGGAGGAACGAAGGCCAGGCCAGGGCGCCAGGGCTATATCCGATGTGTATGTATGTACATACATATACAACTTATATATATATATTTATATACAACATTTGTATATATATATATATCGGATGTGGATCTATTTCATCATAGATCATATCAGTGAGATCCCTGAAACACAATCCTCGATGCTATGAGGGGCAGGATGAAATCTCATCATCCTGCCCTTCGAGGGTCTTGTTGAGACCATGGCATGCCTGGGTCGTCTCTTCTGTTCATTTTCGGGGAGAGCAGAATTGCCAGGATTTTGACTTTTGACGGCAGGTGAATGTTTCAAACAACTGTGTTTTTTTCTTCTCGATGAGAACGCAGTTATTGTTGAAACACACCTACCGTTTGTTTGAAAAAGGTTTGATATTGCATGATATTGCACCCTTACATATAACAATGCTTCGCCCGACTCTGCCGCCCTGCCGCTTAAGTGATAATTTTGGGGTGGATTGAAACTTGCTAATCAACTTATCCTCGAATTCTATGTTTTAATATACATGGATGCCTATATAGAGTACAGTATATTATACAACCATAATTTGACCAGGAAAAACTTGGCAACTATTTCTTTGAAGCGTCTCGAAAACCAGCATTTTGAGATGGTAAACCAATTCTCCAACGTACCAGCCGAGCTGTAGGTACACTGTATGTTTTGCATGGAAATTATGATATCTCCAAAATCCAAGTGTGGGAAAAAAACAGAGTTTCCTTTTTAAAAAATGCAACTTAGCAGGTAAACCCAACAGTTTCAGACAAAGCCACATCCACTGATTCCATAAAAGTTACATCCCTATGTTTTATTCTTAAATCTACATTGTTTACCATGTTTGCTGGGTAAATCACCATGTGTCACCATGTTTGATGGTTACCCTCTGGTAAATTAACTTGTTGACCCTGAAAATCACCAATTTTTAGTGGAGACTATAATCTTCCAACCCCTATCTACCAGGGTCTATGTTAATCTACTGGAGGGTAAATCATCATGTGCTCACCCTTGTTTTTCACAAAGCCATCGTGACATCGTGTCTCGAAATTCAGTGCAGGCCGTCCGCGACGTCCGAGGAGCGATTGCCATCGTGGCATTTTCCTCTTCCCCATGATTCATGATGGTTTGGTGGATTGTTGGTTGGTTCAATGGCCATTTCAGGTACCTAAATTGGAGGTACCTACCATATATAAGGCCTATTTTTCAGGCCTATGTACAGATTGGTACTATCGTACCTCCATTTTAGGATCCTGAAATTACCATTGACTTGTTGGTTGGTGAAGATTCTGGGATTATCCCACACCCAAAAAATCGATCTGAAAAAATATGAGCATATGTCCATATGATCCAAGTATGGTATATCTACCTACAAAACTGGGTGATTTTTAGGGTAAATGTTGGTAAATATTCCAGCACCATGGAGCATTTGGGATGGGATTAAAAAATGGATTTAAGCATCAACGATTGTGATTTAACTATTGGATAGTGATGATTACGTAGAAAATATTGGGGGTGCTGGAACTAGAAGTTATGGTAATTTGGGGTGTATTTGGTGTGTGTGTGTGTTACTGATTTAAGGGAGGAGTACTACAACCCAAAGAGTGGGAATGATCAATTGCAGAAGAACTTTCACGGGTTGGGACTACCGTAGAACGGACGGAGATCGGTGGTACCATTTGCAATTACCGGCGTTCTACAACACTATCCATCATCCTTCCTTTCTTTGGCTTGCAAACTTCAAGTCGTTTCAAGGTTAGGGTCACCAGAAATGCGACTAGACATTCAACTCTTGGGATACCCCTCCCTTGTTCGTGATCTCAAAAAAAAACATGATATCCAGAAATGGAGGAAGGACGTCTAGAGTAATAATCCAGGCATTACTTGTTTAAAAAACAGTTGACATCCAGTTATCTCTATCTCTTTGCGTTTCTTTGTTGAGATCATTGGATTGATGGCAACAACCACGCGCCGCCCGGAAGGATTCGCAGTCTCGTTCAAAGGAGAAGGTGCGCTCGGAGCTGGGTCATCTGGGTGCTGCGGCCAGAATCTTTTCCAACATGCTGGGGACAAGATAGAAAATGATTGGTGCTTTGAAGAACATTTGGATTATGACTTTCCATACGTTGGGAATGTCATCATCCCAACTGACGATTCGTCATATTTTTCAGAGGGATATGGGCTCACCCACCAACTTGCGGAAAATGATGTGGAAACCCTCCATGATGGTTTCCAGGAAAATGATCTGGGCGAATTGCGTGGATGCAACACATCACGACTTACGTTGTAAGGCTATACAAAAGGAGGCTAAACAGGCTAAACATCTTCTTGTCATGTCCCAGAACCAAGAATTGCTGTTTTAGTCATTTTAGTCTTGACTGATTCAAGCACCAACCAGGCCAGAAAATTCCGGTGTCAACATGTACCAATCAATTCGGAGGATTGTGCGAAGAAAAATGAGGGAGTAAGCTAACTAGCCAAGGCGTCTTATATAGAGATGTATAGTGCATACACTTCAGGGGGTTTCCTGAAATGGACCCCAAAATGGATGGTTTATAATTCAAAATCCTATTAAAATGGATAATTTAGGGGTACCCCCATTTTAGGAAACCTCCACATGGTTTGATGTACACGTATTTACTTCTAATCAACTAATATGTGTATGGGACAAGTCATTGAGCAGTCTTCAATTTTGACTCAAACCCCTAGAGTGGATTCATCCAAGGACAAGCACCTTCCCTCCATGACAGTTCTCAGTTGGGGAAGGGTCCATATCTATCCGACCATCGGAATTAGGGGGATGAACATCCATTCAATGGATGGGTTTCAGGGAAAAAAACTACAGGAAACCATGGAATTTCTCATGAGAAATGTGTTTTTCCATGTTTTTTCCTGCACATTGATCCATGAGAACAAACAATTTTGCTGTAAATTCCAAGGTCGCGGGGTTGTGATTGGGACCACCGTTGGGAGAACAACAGGCTGCACCACTGGGTCCCACTGGATCCCCTAAGCTCCAGATTTCCACCCGCTATCGGTGTGAAAACTCGGGGATTCCAGTGCTGTATCGTTCTACACCCAAATGTCAAGGATCACTGAAAACACGGCTTCAGCTTCGACTAGATGGCATTTCCGGAATCTCGACCTAACTTGGCATTGAAGCTGTGTTCAGAAAATACATTGGGCAACCTGTGCTTTGAAACAAGTCAGAGGTTGCACTGTGTTTATTTGAAAACCCCTCATTCAGCCCATTTCCGAGAATTTCATGGTGCTGAATATGAGCAAATCTAAAAAAATACCACTCTGGTTGGTGGTTTGGAACATGAATGTTATTTTTCCATACATTGGGAATTTCATCATCCCAAGTGAATCAAGTGACTAATATGTTTCAGGGGTAGGTCAACCACCAACCAGCACTGATTCCAGATAAAAATCCTCAGACCAATCCATTGAACATGTTTTTTTCAGCTGTGCATAGCCATGGCATCATGGCACAGGTCGTGAAAGAAAAAGATGAAGATTTGGGAGATGCAGAGGGTGTCATCTTGACCCGTGAGACCTCGCAGGTTCCGTCCAGGGGCTGGTGATCATGACATGACTTGAGGAGAACTCCAGCATGTCAGCCTTCATGTTGGCTGCCTCATCTACAGTGATCTTTCTAGGGTTTCGTTGATGTTGTTTGTTCAAGAATCTGCAGAGTCAATGGTGGGGTACGGTTTGGCTTTATTTGGCTCTCTTTGCAATGTGCCATGACTCTGTACTCGTATGGATGCCAGAATTCCTCACTTAGTTATGAATGTATGATGTGTTTTTGTCACATTCATTCACATCTATATACTGTACATGTATCTGTGTATGTAATATACGTCATTGTAATCTACTGTGTACAAGATATATATATATGGTGATCGATCTAAAGGTCCTTGTAAGGAGTTTTAATTGCGAAAGCCGTGCATGTTATGTTGGAAACCCTCGCGGTTTTTTTTTCGAGTTCGCGAAAGTAAAATTTTATTTCGCGAAAGTTTCGCGAAAGTTTGGTATTATAATATGTAAAGGGCTGCCACCCACTGCCGCCCGGGGTCCGGCAAGAGAAGGACACCAGAGAATGCGAGTAGCAGTAGCCAAGTTTCCAAAAGTGAGGCTTTGCGAGAGCCAAACACCAAGGCTCCTGGTCTTTGCTTTTCCTTCAGTGCACCCCCTGCTGATGGCCGGGGTCTGTGAATAGGGATATTTTCGCGAAAGTTATGCGAAAGAGCGGGCGAAAGTCAAAGTGCATGTTGAAGGGGGTGGGCCAGTAAACTTTGCAAAACAAATCTGTCCTGAGAAGGGATTCCGTGATGCTAGCTGCATGTTTAAAAGGCTACCAAGAAGTGATCCGTGATTCTCTGGCGTAATTTGGCAGGTGGTGAACGAATCTTCATAAGAGGTGTTGTTGGCCAACATGGGCCCCGCGAAAGATAAACATGGAGTTCGCGAAAGTTTCGCGAAAGTAAAATTTTTATTCGCGAAGAATGGCCGTTCCGGGATAGAGGAATTTTGATCAACAACCATATATATACAAGTTGGTGGCTTCATTGTTCAACCTCACCTCGGATGATCCCGATATAGTCATCCTGGAGTAGATAGAATACGGGATGTTCAAATGTATCCCCTTACTTCGAGGATTCTGTTGAACCGTTCATATTCTACTATAGGATTCATTGTATTATATATAAACATTACATAACTTATATATATATATATACATCTGTAATAACATATAATATATAAACATTACATATTCTACTTATATCAACATTATAAACATATAATATATATATGCACACATACATACATACATACATACATATTTCCGTGGATGCAGATACTTTCTTCTCGAAGGGGCCTAGTCCCCGAGGCATCATACTCCCCAGTCATACTTCAGAAGGTACCGTGGGATCCCATGGGGTCTATAATATACATGTGCATATAAATAGATATGTAATAACCCACAAAGTAGTTAATCACTGTCCAAACTTTTAGGATTCTACTTCTCTATGTTTATTTTGGGGTTGATATATATATATATACATATATATATATATACATACATATACATATATACATATATACATATATATATATATTTATATAAATATAAATATATATATACCTACATATACATGTACACATATATATATATATATGATTATACATGTCAACAGTTTTGTTTTCGCAATTCTTGGATTTTTTCCGCTACTGCTGACGGTGTTTTTCCATAAAACAAAAAAACTTCCGGAGGCCTCCTTGATCAACATGATCTTTGAGGCGGGGAGGTCATCCTTTTTCACCGTCCCAAGGATTGGACCATTGGTTGATGGCTGGGATGTCTGGTACTGGAGGTTTTGAGTATCAACAAAGGGGATTTTTCAGGGATTTTTCATGGGATTCAATAGCAAAAATAGGGGTAGAAGATGGCACAACATATGTTTTACTCAGTTATTACCCTGTGGTAAACTAACTATAACTATGGAAAATCACAATTTTTCATGGGAAAACTCACTATAAATGGTGATTTTCCATAGTTATGTTAGTCATTACCAGAGGGTATATGGGTTGATAACCTACCCTCCGGTGTCGTCAAAGATGGCGAGACATCTTCAAACTAAATGGTGTCGTTTGTTGCTGGGAAAAGCATCGAACTAGATGGGGAATTTTCCAGCAAGCCATGGAGCTGATTACCGGCTGATGACCACCGGAACCCAAAGAAAATGGCGTTGAAACTGATTCTGCGAACTTGGAAAGGAATGTCAGCACTACAGCTTCCATGTTTCATGTTTCAATAGTGTTTCAATGATGTAGCCTCTAGATTTGACAGCGATTTCTTGGTTGTAGGCATTTGTCCAGGGACCCTTTGCGAGTTTTTTGTTCGATTGAAATTACCACAGAATCGTGCCCGGCAATGCAACATCCCTCTGCACATATCCCATTCCAAGAAGCAGCGCCAAGTTTCCAGCTACAGGTGACTGATTTGTTGGTTTGTGTTTAAGAGTACCCTCTGGTAAACTAACATAACTATGGAAAGATCCACCATTTTCTAGCTGGGTAAATCCATTATTTCGACTGGGCCATGGTCAATAATTGAATGTTAGAGATTACCAGATGCCATTAAAATTAAAAATTCCCATTAGATCCTATTAAACCACCATCAAATCCCATTAAACCAGAGGGTAGGTGAGAAATTCCTGTGAAATCACGGTATTTTGGGGTTTATTCGGATGAATTTCAAGGACCTCATACTGTACAACACATCGAAGCCACTGGAAATGTTGGTGCTTCATCCGAGTTCGGTTTTTCTTTATGTTCGATGCATGTGTTTTTTTCTTGCAAACATTGGACATTTTTCTTTATATAACCATACTGAATTATGTATTGTTCTTTAACCATATTTATTTATATATATATATATCTTTCTTTAACCATATTTGATTATCAGAGAGTAATTATCAAGTATCAAGTATTTCATAGGCCAACAGATCAGATCTGGAATCAAAAAAAACGAACCATTGGTCATCCACAAATGCAGAAGTTGCAATTTTAAAGGTGTAAGGATTTACAATAGAGAAAAAACGATTAAGAGTGTAGATGCTAGTCTTGATTGCTTTGAAGACGGGTTTGGCCCATGCTCCAAAACAAAAGGAGCACATATCATAGAAGGAACACATATCATATGATTTTAATCTAACATCATTATCTATATATATATATATATATATATGTATAGTTTAGGTTGGCACCATATCCTAGTATTCACAAGGGAGGCTGATAGGTATGACAGTATATTTGTACCCGATGGGTTTGCCACCAGCCTTAAATTCTTACTTCGTTGATGGTGCCAGGCAAACTGGGCCCATGAAACCCCACAAAGGAAAACTGCTTGGCTTCAGGTGAAAAGTTCTTAGGCACTTTTTGTGGATAAAACGTAATGTAGCAGCTCTGTTTCTAGGTGATTGGCAGAATCTGAGATGCATCGACCATGGAAGCTGCGAAGTGTTTTATTGTTGGAACACGCAGTGTCGTATGCATGTTGTTGACATGTCGGATAGGGGTGAACTTGCAATTGCAGGCTGCATTACGGAAGCATCGATGTACAGCGCATTACACATAGAAAGCCATAGATGATAGATTGATAAACATATAGTATACCTTCTGGATCCAAATTCTTCTTGAGAAGGGACAAATCACCCCTCAGTCATCACATCCCAGTCATACTTCCTCAGAAGGTATGGCTGGATGCATAAAGAGATAGGCAAA